GTTCAAGGGGAGAAGGGAATAGAATAATCAATACAAGGAGGATAACAAGCAAAACCTGCTTTGTGGTTCCATTCAGGATGGAAACTGCCTGTTGTATTTTAAGGATCTTTGGGAGAAAAGCCTGAAATGACACTGCCTGTTTTGTTATAGAGTTAAAAGCACAGATGATATATGAAAAGCTAAGTCTGCCCACTTTTAAACATGCCTTTAAAACAGTATTTTTCAAACTTCTTGACTTTAATACCTATGGACTTTAACTTCCAGATTTCCTCAGGCAGCATTCTGTCTGAGGAATTCTGGGATTTAAGTTCACATGTCTTAGTCATTAAGTTTGAGAAACACTGCTTTAGAAGGATAAGAAAGAACTCTTGACAAGTATAATGACCAATAATAGGTTATTATATGGAATTGATAAGTGGTTTTTTTTTCTAGACAACTTTCTATGATGCTGATGTTAGCACAGTCTAACCCACAACTCTTTGCCTTATTTGGGACAAAGTCTAATATCAATAAGGAACTAGAACGAATAGAACAGTTCTCTAAGCTGCAGCAATTAACAGCCTCCGATTTAGTCAATAGAAATAAAAAAACCTGGAAAAATTGGCTGCAGAATTACAGGTGAGGTTATTTACATTCTCTTTGCTTTAGTGCCTTTGTTTCCTTTTGTTGAGATATATATTTATAAATCAGCTAATAATTCAATCATTGCCCCGTGAAATGCAGATGAATGTTTGAGTCTAATGTTATTACATAATTTCTAGTTTTTCATTTGTTAATATTATATACTTAGCTAAGCAGTATGAGATTTAACCTGAATTACGTACTTTTAAAATATATTCAAATTAGTGTCTTTTATTGAACAGTCTCTTTTAAATGAATCATTTCAGAGATTTAAGAAACTGTATTGATCTAGGCACTCGCTTTTATTCTGCTTTCAGAGTTAGGCTGGAAAAAGAAATGGAACACATTAGCAATACTGACACGTGGTATGATGAGCGTCTGAAAATTATGAATGCCAGCAATCCAAAATATATATTGAGGAACTACATTGCTCAAAAGGCTATTGAAGCAGCAGAAAATGGTGACTTTCTAGAGGTAAACAGTTTTCCCCATATTTATATGTTATTTTCTTTGCCCACCCATCTCATCACAGGAATTCTGGGTGACGTATCGGTAGTTAAAACCAAGCAAGAATAAAATTGAACAACCGCTAAGCCCCATTACCCAAGTCTAGGGTCAAGAAAAATCATTCTAGATTTCCCACAAAAAGAAATAAAACCAATCAGATTCTTGTGAGATGTGCAGGAGTGGAGTGGGGGCTCCAGATCTAGAGGACACTATTAAGAACATTCCTGTATTGCTGCCTTGTTTTCCTTTCCTTTCTCTACAGGTGAGAAGAGTCTTGAAACTCCTAGAAAGGCCATATGAAGATTCAGAATGCTTCCTGGAGGTATCGGAGGAGAGGGAGGAGGAAGAAAGTGTGATGGCAGCTGCTTCTGCTGTTGCTACCTGTAGCTCAGGAACCCAGGAAAAAATTCCATATAGCAGCAAGCCTCCCCTTTGGGCATCTGAGCTCTGTGTGACATGATCTTCGTAACTGCCTTGCTAAAGTTTTCCACAAAGAGGTTGCAAAGCTCTTGGGAGTGGAAAAAGTAGCAAGGTGCTGTAGAAGTGCTATTAAGTCTGAACAGACCATTTGGGTGTTTTCCTGTCTCACCCGAGCCACATTTATTTTATCAGATGTGACAATCAGTTCTCCGGGCACCCACTTAATATCATATGCTGGGGAACTTGGTAGGTTGAAGTTTTATCTTTCTTGAGCAGGAAATGCTATTTTATTTTTATGCATACTAGCTGGTGAACATCCAAATGAAATATATGAAGACAAAAATATAAAACCAGATGCTGGATGTATTTTTGTCTGAAAACGAACTACTAGTACTTCAAAGCTATGTTTTTAATTTTTACTTATGCAGGGATATTTTGATTCTTTCATTGGGAAGTGAGTTTCTTTTATTTTAAAGATGTGTTTGACTTAAGCAGATTGTTCATTTATTGTGAACCTCTGTGACTTGATCATGAAAATATTATCACTGGGCTTTAGGGAAATAGTAAAACTGCTCACTGTAAAAAAGCAAATAGGTAAAATTCAGACAAATATTTTCAACAACTACTTTACATGGAGTTGAAGATAATCTATATACAAATGGATGTACATCCAGAAACCTGAGTCACTGTCTCCACTTCCTTGTGAATTAGGAACCATACAGCAAATTATATTTTTCTTTTTGGTTCAAGGCTGTATCCTGCTTTCTGGGTCTCTGCATGCAGTTCATTGAATGAGGAATACTTAACACTTTACTCCCCCAAAACAGATTTTCTAAGTTAATAGCACCAATTACTTGTTGAATAGATGAACAAACTAAATTTAGCTTTGTTACTCCTTAAGGGTATCAAAGGATCCTTAAGGGGTGATTCATTAGCACCCTAACTTAAGGAATATAGCCTCAGAGTGACATCTTTAAACAATATTGCTGTAGTAGGTAAAAATATAAATTACTGATTTTGAACAAGCCTTCCGCATTCCAATGTTGCATTTTGTGTAGGTTGCGTATTTTTTGTGTTTCAAATTTGCTACCTCAGGAGAGACTTCCATTTTTTCACTTTTTGCTGTCGGGGGTTTAATTGCCCAGTTATATTTTGATTACATTTGACTATAGCATTCAGCATATATTTCAGTTGAAGATTGTTCAACAAAGTAACTGGATGAAAACATCTCTTACTGAAGAATATGTGTCTCAGTGGGTGGGTGGCAATGGCTAGTTAGAAGACATTTTGTCATGTTTTCATTGATTGGTGCTGGGATGTGATGAACATCAAAGATATGCTCTTTTTGCATTAATAATGAATTCTTGCTTCTGTTGATAAGTTGACAAATAGTAGATAAGAGAAATTCTGAAAAATAAAAATCTAGACTACAGGTGGTCCTTGAGTTACCACTGTAATGGAGCCTGCCTATTATGGTTGTAAATTATGACGTTGTAAAACGGGTCAGTCATAGGACCAACCTGATTTTATGATCTTTTCTGCTGCAGTCATTAAGCAAACACCATAGTTGGTAAGCAAATGCCGTGGTTGCTAAGCAAGCCCATTTTTCATTAATGGCATGGTTTTGCTGAAATCCAGAAACTCCAGTTTTGGGCAAAACTGTCATAAAATGCAGTCAAGTGACTGTGGGATGCTGCAAGCAGGTGTAAATGCACCAGTATATTTGAGCACAGTGTATATACTTCGAGTGCTCAAATGTGGGGTCATATGACAGTAAGGTTGGGGCAACTGTCCGAACTTCAGATCCAGGTTGTAAGTCTCCTTTTGTGGATCCGTCTTTGAATAGTCGCTAACCAACTGGTTTAAGTTAAGGACTACCTGTACTGAGATATTAATAAGACTTTAAATCATACTATAACTAAGTCACTAAGTTATACTATTAAAAGGGCTTATGTTTTTAGGTCTTTTGGTACTTGTTTAAATAAAACAAAATAGGACAAATGATGTGAAAAAATTAATTTTATTGGCTCTGAGTTTCAGGGTTTTTGGCAAGGCAATAAAAATACACCATGTGAATGTTATCATGATTTAAGTATTTTGAATGAGTGTTATGATTTTCATCATAGTGCATAAAATTTGCAAGCTGTCACCATGAGCTATATTAATTGAAAATAAATGAATTTGATGTTTATAGCAAATGTCCATTTTTTAGGATAAGAAAATTAAGAAATAAAATGTTTGAAATTGTTACGTGCAACTAATTTCTTGTTTTTGGATGGCGCTATAGTAAGTTGATCCCAGATTTTTGTTTATAGTGTTGTCCTAGGAACTGAAATATCTTTGACTTAAAGATATGTTTGTGAAGGAGTAATGGTGGGATTGCCGTCCACTTTGGAAAAGCAGCTGCATTTAGACAGAAATGCATCCCAGCTGTACTTTCCTTATACATTTACTCATAAACATCCAAGATGGTGATGCAACTGTGATTAGTTGCACCTCTAGGTTTTTCAAGGATGTGTAGTCCAGAAGCAGCCTCACCTCACCCAGGCCCTTGGCTTACAAAGCAAATGCTAAGACAGAGGTATAGGAGACAGTAGAGGAGGGAAGGTGATAAGCAAACTAGGGAATCAGAGGCTATGTCTGGAGATTGATAGCTATTATAAGTGGAGAAGAGGACTTTCAGTTAACTGCCATGGCTACAAACTATGATGAGCAGTATATCCTGCTGAGAAGTCCTGCCTGGATCTTGAAAGCAACTAGACGAGCAACTACAGTGAAATAACACATCCCAACTAGTGCAAGAATTTTTGGAAAAGGGCAGAATTTGTCTTTGGACAGCAAAGAACCTTTACACTGCTTAAACAAGTATTTCTACCTTCTTGGTGCCCATTAACACATTCAGAATTGTCCTATAAGAGCACAAAGTAAGCTTGCAAAGAATCTGAATGCAACACCTACATAACCGACATACTTGAGCCCACAAAGTGCAATGGAATAAGGTAAACTTAAAAGCTTTGGCAATATACTAGTCAACTTGTCAAGGATTAAAGCAATATAACACACTTTTGCATCCAGCACCACTCTGTCATCTCTCTCTTCTATCCCTCACATTTCCTCCCTCGCTCCCATTGCAAAGCAATACACAGTAAAATTTATATGCTTGCCCAAATCCCATTGACCCTGGATGTCTTCTCGTGTGCCTTGATGCTAATTAAAAAATAATAAAGGATACAATAAGAACACAGGGAAATGTGAGGAGTATAGGAGCTATATTGGGAAATTATTAATTAGATCTCTTTTAAAAAATCTTCACAGTATCTACAATCATAGGCCATTACAACATAATTAAACATTCTGGATTGTGTACATATTAAATTTATCCACAGAGGTAATTGTCAGGAAGGGTTTTTTTTTTACTCTGAACATCTGCATATTGATTACAAAATAATAAATTTATGCTTTGCTCTTTATTACACATTTACATGAGCAGCTTTTACAATGCTAAAGGAAGAATTTACACATTAACAAATTTACATTTATGCACACTTTGATATATCACACCAACATGGGAAACATGCTTCCGTGAGAAGACAGTATGAACCAATGCCATGCTATGTGAAGAAAATGGAGCATCTTGCTGAATCAATGGAACCATTCTACTCTGTCACTGTTTTCATTCAGTGGAAACTCTTCAAAGCTTCTGAGGTCAGCGGCTTTCAAATGGCCTGGGTTCCTTTATAATATACAGAGCAGTTAGTCTATTCTAAAGGCTCAATTATCTTTGTAATAGTTGTTGAAGTTAATTCGTAGTAAGAAATCTTCCAGGTGAGGCTGGTATCCTCTGTTGATAAGCTTTGTTACTACTGCAGGGAAAGGGGGGAAAAAAGGGAAAACTTAGAAAAGCCAATTGATCAATTGAATCTGCCTCTTCACAGAAACAGCTTATGGCAAGAGAAATGTTACTGGGTCTCTTCCAAATGTTCTTATTGGAAAAAGCAAAGTGGCCCTGGAATGAATCCTTGCAATCATGAGCATCAATTGGATAATGCATATCAAATCCTAAACTCTCATTATTTCTGCCAGCAGTTTAATTTAATTGCAGAGAATCTTGTCCAGCATCCTGCTCCGCTAAGAGTGTTTTAGATATCCAGCATAAAGAGGGATGCTATCAAGTACATTGGTAAGCATAGCAATAATTAGCTGGCTTTCCTTATATAACAGTTGTAAACAGTGGGACTTAAATTCTGAATAAAAAGGGAAAGGAAATAAGGCTTAAAATTAGGGGGTGAATGTAGGCCTGAAGAAAAAAATACATGCTGTGCAAAAGATGATCCTTAATTTGGGGGTGAGGGCAGGGTGAACCTGCTGCATATTTATTGTAAGGAACCACACAATTACAGAGGACTATGGAAAGAGAGATAGTATTATTGTCATCTGCCCTCTTTATGCAAACTGTTACAACCTGACATAGCAAGATAAAGTGGACAGGATATTGCAGACTGCAGAAGCACAGCTGACTTCACGGAGGTTTCACCATCTTGATACTAAATGATGCTTTAATTTAATATGAAATGAAGTGCAAGTGAGTTTTTCTTCTACACCTTAAAATACAGGATATGTTATCACATCCCTGAAGGTTTGCTCTAAGAAAACTGATAAATTAATTAGTCTTTAATGTAATCTTAAAATAGATTAGCCAATTATGCTGTGCTTGAGTTTCATTTTGATTTTCAGATTAACATTAGAGAAAAATTGCATGGCAAGTCTTACCGTTGAACAGAAAATGAGAGTAATATTTGAATGTGTTATAGGACTGCTGCATTAATCCAAAGTTAGGGTGAACAGCCACATGTTTGCTGCTATCAAAATTCCATGACTGAGAGATTAACTGGCTACGGAACTTTAAAATGAGGCTAAAGATGCTGTGAATTATATTCATCACAGGGGCTGCCTTTTCCGTCAATAATCCCCTGTCAAGAAAAAAGCAAAGGTATATTTTAAACATATACCAATGTGAAATTAACTAACAGGCAGCAATGCAATCCCTCTAACTTTGTAATAGATTTTAAAACTATGCATCAACAGTTATAAGAACATGCTTTAAGTCTGGAAACACAGAAAATATTAAAAAGAAACAAACTGGCTCATTGCTTCTTAAACATCTTGTTCTCAGAACCCTTTCCCACTTTTAAAAATTAGAGAGCCCAAAAGAAGCTTTTGTAGATATTTATCTTTTACCATATTCAGAATTAAAATTGATTGAGTCACGAGTATTTATTATTGAATCATGTAAAAAAGTATACTAGCCCCTGTAGATACTAACCTTTTGTTCATGAAAACCTCCAAATTTTTAACAAATAAAAAATAGTAAGAGTGTAATCGATTTACATCAGAGTGTCAAACTCACGGCCTGCGGCCCAGATGAGTCACGTGCTGGCCACGCCCACCCCCATTTTAGCAAAGAGGAAAGTCACAATACGTCATGATGACGTGAGTTTGACACCCCTGATTTACATTTTGTAAATATCTTCAGTATCTGGAAAATAATTTTGCTTTTGTGAACCAGAGAAGGCCTGGATCATTTCCAGAGGTTTGGCAGTTAAATTTGGGTGAATTCTCTTGTGACCCTGGACAGCCTTAAAGGGTTGACATGAATCTTGACTCGTCCCTGCTCTGCATAGAGTCATCATTACCGTAAGGAATCAGTTACAAAGAGGATTGAGGAAAGAAATCATTTGTGCAAAAGATCCTAACTATATTTGTTTTTATTTATCATTTACTATAAGCCATTTTGGGAGACCTATTATCCTAAAAGTATATAAATTATTGTAATCAATCAATCATCTAACAGGCTCTAGGATTCAAACAAAGTATAAATTTATAAAAACTTCCAAGAGAAGCCACAAGTGGTTCTGTACTAGGGTGGCTACAGTCCAGATTGCTCCTCAGAACATACACAGACTGATTTTTTTAACAATCTTAAAGGAATAATTTCTGCTAGTTGAAGTACTGTATAAGATTCTCTTCATTCCTGCAATGCAATGCAAGCAAATACTTTCTGTGGTCCATCAATGCACAATACATCTGTTCTGCTACATTATAGTAGAAGTAAACCCAAACCAAGTCAGTATAATGGAAATCCATGTTTATCTAACCTTTTACACCTATGAACACTACTGATCAACATAAGCAGACAAGTTATACATCTTCCTTACCGAAAGATTGCTTTGTTGAGATAGTCTGCATGTGTTCTGTAAATTTCTTCCAAATTCCCCACAGAAGACAATTTATTCCCAAATTCACACCAAGTGACATGCAAAATCTGATTGGCAATATAACCTTGAATAACTTTAACGAAATGCTGCATTTCATGCTTATAAAGCTGCAGTTGTCGAAACTGGACGGAGTTCGATGCATGTTTTACTAATGCTGAAAAACAAATATTACATTTAATCATTCAATCACAGGGTCTGAAAATCCAGTTATTTATTTAAAAATGAGAAACAGTATTTTAGAAGCCAAATTTAAAAGAAAAAAGGATAAATATAATTTAAGATTAATGACTTACTGCTAAAATGTAATAATGTTGAATAAAATATTACATGATCACTAGAATGCAAAATTGCAAAATACTTCAATGGGAAAAAAAGAAATATTTGGCAGAAGTACACAAATCAGTCTTACCAGTTCGCTTTAAGTGGAACCAGACATCTTTAAGAGTCCATACCATATGTTTCAGCTGTAGCAGGAAGGAGAATATCTTGTTATATTTATTCATACAGTTTTCAGTAATTACAATATTTAAGGGCCAGTCAACCTAAAAGAAAAAGAAAATAATTCTCACTGCATACGAATTGATATTTTGCAACCTTTTGAGATAAAAGTTTATAAACAACACAAGTATGCATTTATAAATAGTATCAGGAAATATTCAAAATCAATTATTCTAATAAATCAATCATGGCTTTAGAACAGTGGCCCCAACCTTTTGGGCACCAGGGACCGGTTCCGTGGAGACAAATTTTTCCATGGACCAGAGGGGGCATGGTTTTGTATGCTGCCTGCATCCCTCAGATAAGGATTCACTTGTTTCTGTAGTCCAGTTTCTGGCATGCTGCGTTCCAGTGGAGCAGGTTGGGGACCCCTGCTTTAAGTCGAAAAGTTCCATGGGCATCTCACCTTGTATCGTAGTTCCAAACAGGTTAGGGCATCAGGAGCATTGGGTTTGAACATGTCTGGGAGGTATTTCAGTGCAAAAGAGAGGTTAGAAGCCAAGTGACTGTCTCCATGAAGACTGTACTGAAGTGCCTTATTCAAGATGGAATTGAGGACTAATGGATTCAGAAGTTCACCAGGTGTCTGTCCTGATCCCAGCTTGAATGAGAAAATAGCATATTAGAGGCTGAGAGTTCACTGGCCGGGATGTAAGCAGAAGTTAAGCATGCTATTTATTACCAGAAAATCTCCTTGTGCCAGAGTTTCCTATAATACAAAGTTCCAAGAGTGGCTGTTTGCTCTTGACCATTATTGGAAACACAATCATGAAATGGCTATTTTCTGACCTATCATCGGTTTACATCTTGGCAAATAGATATAATTCAATACCTTTTCAAAAAGCAAATCGCTGAGCGATTGAGCAAATTCTCCATCTTCCATTAACAAAAAATGCCTCAATGCTTCAAAATGTTTCTCAACATTCAATTCCACAAAATAATAATCCACAATGGCTTTGTTCACAAGGGAAACACTAGAAAAAAGAAATAGATGATCCAAATTTTAAAATGTAGAATAATTAAAATTCTCTGCTCATTATAAAAGGGAAGAAACAAAACCATGATAAGCTAGACTAAGATAAAATGAACCGAATCATAAATCAAGCTGTGAAGTATATTTTAAAAAATGACCCTTTTGATCCTGTATACAGAATTAATGGTTAATTTCTACAAAAGAACTTACTAGAATAGTTCAAACATCCTTTAGTTGCTTTTCAAGTAAGGATGTACCATGTGTGTTGAAAATAAAAAGTTCCTTTTAAATACACCTTGTTTTTCACCCTAACTCTTCTTCATAGTTGTATATAATTGCTTTGGCCTAATGAAGAAAAGACTGAAGAGGAAATATGCTATGACATTTATAGATCTAATACAAGTTATTACCGTATTTTTTGGAGTATAAGACGCACCGGAGTATAAGACGCACTTACCTTTTTTGGTTGTTGTTTTTTTAAAAAAAGGTTTTTTTTATTTTTTAGACAAACACACATACAAACATACAATGTATTTTCTTTGAACAGAATATTTGGTTGGTTCACAAATTTAAACAGTGTTTAGTCATTTCAATTAAATTTACAATTCCTATATTTCCTTTTTGCCATATTTATTCCTCATCTTTTTTTAAAAAAAACCAATATTACCCTTCATCCTCATCTCTAATCTTAATCAAATTCAATTTTTCCCTTCTATTCTATATTATACCCCTTCCCATTGTCATCTATTTTTATATCCATCCTCACATTGGTTAATTATGTAATATTACAATTGTTTAATACAAATTCAACATTTTAATATAAATCAATTAGTTATATAACTATCTTTTTTGTATATTAATCAATATGAACATGAATATTCCAATTATTTCCATGCAATCCAATTTCTTACAAATCAATTAATTATATTTACCAATAATAATAAACCAAATAATTTCCCCCATATATTCCTCCAAACCACAACTTAACCATTTCTGCTTTCAACACAATATACAATTAGTAGTATCTCAATTATTACAAATCCCTAGTTAAAAATAGCTTTTTTTCTTTTGTGTTTTAAAATCTTGAACTCTCCTCTTTTGCCCTAAATTTCCCATTGTTTGCACCTACCTTTTTTGGTGAGGAAAAAGAAAAAGAAATCTCTCTCTGCCTCATTTTGTCACGTTGCAGCAAAGACCCTGCTTTACTTTCAGTTTCGTTTTTTAGCTAGGGAAAAAAAATCTGCCCCACTCTGCAGGGCATTCTGCAGGGCTCTTCTGCGCAAAACAGCTGAGAGCAAATCAGCTGAGAGTCGGGAGGCCGATCTAATCAACTTGTGCTAATTAACCTATGCTGAAGCTGAAAGGGGCTGTTTTTTCTTGCTGTTTGCTTGCAAGAAGGTAAGTGCTGCGAGGCACAGGCCAAAGGATGGGGGTCAGTGGGTGGCCAGGGCTACATTCGGTGTATAAGATGCACCTAAATTTTCACCCCCTTTTGGGGGGTAAAAAGGTACGTCTTATACTCCGAAAAATACAGTATATGATATATGATATGATATACATTCTTTCTGCAGTAATCACTAAATTGTCTATACTATTGACTCAATAAAAGGAGGGGAGATGATAATTTGTTTGTCCTTAACAAAACAATATGAACAGCAGAACAAAGTACTCTTATGTATTGACTTAATAGTTAATAGTTCCAATACTACTTACTGAGAAACTAAGGGGGTAGTGATTGACCGTTTCATCAGTACTGGAAGTGATAAGAGCTCACTTAGTTGTACAGCTGTTTCATCTGTTGCAGATTGTTTTGAGGGATCCACAGGGAAAGTGTAGGATCTGGGGATCATGTGATGTAAGAGATGGGAAACTGGAAGCTCGGCTGCATAACAGGTAAAACAAAAATTTGTAAGGTGAAACATTATTTTTAAAGATTATCGAAAAGTAAAATACAATAAATCGAACAATCAATATGCAACGATCTGTAGTTTGCACTCACCATCTATTTAGTATATAGAAGTATTTATAAAATGCTGTTCAAAAAGTTGAAAACTGAATGGAATCACTAATGCCAAAGAGTAGAAAGATTTACAGTAAATTAGATTATTAATCGGGGGGGTGGGGAAGGTACACATAAACATAATTTAGCACATGCTTTAACCACCAGTAAAAAATATTGCCTTAGTACATAATACATGTACATCTTTGCCTAGGAATTCTGGATAACAATTTCTAGTGCCTGAATTATGAAACTCAAGTGACCCGTGAAGCTACAAGAATGGAGATTTGCCATTTCTACACAACGGAAGTATTTTTATTTAGAGTTCAAAATTACTAAGAAAAACAATTTCCCAAAGTTTTACAGTAAAGGTGACAATATGTGATCTTCAACATGTTATTAAATATATTAGTATGAGGTAGTCATAACAACAGTCAGACAGGGATACTCCAAATTTTCAAGGATTGACCCTTTTCTCTTCTGGATCATCCCCAGAAGTTAAACTTAAACCAGCAGCAAGTTAAAATGTCCCAGACAAAATATGGGGTGGACTATGTTTGGAGCATTACATGGAGCTTCCAGAGTGGATAATTAACTTCCAGGAAAACATCCAGAATAGGTACATTTCGCATAACATTCAGCTCTGCGCAACCTTAGTCAGAGATTAAGAGAGTTGTACATTTTTGCAGGCCCTAAAATACTTACAGATCATGCACCAAAGTTTTACGTACTGTAGTGGCCATACAATGAAAAAAGAAGCATGTTAAATCTGGACTTATTACTGAGCCTCTCTTTTCTTGCAACCTTTAGAATTAAATTAAATTAGAATTTAAAAAAATATTTTAAAAACTCACTCTCCCTAGGCTAAACAAAGTTAGTGGTCAACTGATGTAGAACATCTACAGCAAATGTGACCAACCACAGGCAGCATGCAGTCCTGAACAGCTAGTTATGCGGCCCCACAAGATTGTAAACTTTCAATACTATTATGAGATTTTTTTTTAGTGATACTATATTATATATTTTATATGTGGCCCAAGACAAATTCACTCTTCATTCAATGCAGATCAGGCAAGCCAAAATGTTTGGATACCCATGAGCTAAAGATTGTTGTGGTCTGCCGGCAGCCTGCGAAGCTGGCAGCGAAGTCGGACAGTGAGGAGGCTGGGGAGGAACATGGGCCAGTCCTGGAGTCTGGGGAAGGCTCGGACGAGGGCTCTGCATCGGAGGCAGAGATGGGCCAGGGCCATCTGGGAGTTATGTGCCTCCAGAGTCTGACATCAGTGAGGCAGAGGAACAGGGGGAATCTGTTCCCAGTGCACGCATGTGCAGAGCTGCCAGAAGGCAAGAACAGTTAAGACAAAAGGGGCAAGTAAGGCTTGGAGGTGACTGGCCCCTCCCATAAGACATAAAGGTGGAGCAAAGGGACATGAGCCTTTACAGGAAGCAACTTTGTTCGTTCTGGTTGGTTTAAACTCTGAAGCTCCGTTTTGACTTTGTGCTCCGTTTGGCCTTTCAAAGCTAATTGGCAATTAGGTATTTGTCAGTGTTTCAAAGGAGATAAAGGTGGATGCTTATCAGCCTTATCCCGAAAGACTGTGGCAGACTTCTGTCGGACTATTCACAATCTGCTTGGGACTCATTACAGGCTGTGAATGAACGTAATTCACAGCTGTTGAAATAAAAAGAGGGTTTTTGGGACTAAGCATGTGACTGTTACTGTCTCAGGAAGCCTTGGTCAGAACAAAGATCATAAACTCCTCACCCTTGAGCTACTGAGTTATAGGTTAGCAACACTCTGAATTATCTTCTTTGAAAGGCTGTATCATATCAAGCAGTTACATTGTCTTAATGCATCTCGCTTTGAGACTACTCACACATAAATTCATATTGATCCTGATATTTTTCCAGGCAATATTGATTAGATAAAGCTTGCAGGTAATCATCTTCTTTCTTCCACATAGCAATACTGGTGCTTCCTCCTTCCTGGTTTTCAGGCACAATAACCTCAGAGACAGAAATTTGCTGAGTCACAACACACAATGAGGTTGATTTTTCAGGTTCTTCTACCTGATGAAAAAGAAATGTTGGTATTATAATGTTCCTTCAACTGGTATATTTAAGTAGTCTCATTCATTTTTCTAAATTCTAAAATATTCAAATCGACATACAAATATAATGGAATAAAAACAGAAATTTCTCCAGTTTCCATAGTGCAAAAAAGTTAAGTTTGTTCCCATATAAACCAACAATTAATTTCAATTAAACATATTAGCATTAATATCATCACATGGTCTCTGAATCATTCCTTAAAATTGCTAACTCCCTAGCTAGCTAGTTGGAGAAGAAGGGAATCCCATTTTAATGTTAAAAGAAACAGTGGAAGATAATAATATAAACCTCTGTTCCTTTCTGTTGGTCAACTGCTCCTTATGGAGACAATAGGCTCCATAGCTACACACTGATGCTGGCATTGCTAAGCAAAATCAGCTCAGTGAAGCAAAGCATGCTAAGCAGCAATAGCCAAAGCAGCAATATCAAAATATTACTCCTCTATAATTTTTTCCTTGCTGGCTTAGCCTTAAAAGCCTCTGTCAAAATGGTGATTGGAAAGTCAACAGTCCCTTTGCATTTTGAAATGGTACAAAAAGATATTATTCATAAAGTGATTCTTCTCACCAGGAAAGGCTGAAGATCTTCAATATCATCTTGGATGACCACTATATGAAAAAAGAAATATTATGTGGGGGAACAGAAGAAATACATAAAATTCATATACATAAATTGAATGTCCTTTTTGTATTCAGTTTTTATATTTCATATAAATATTTTATAATTTAGGCATTCTGTATATAACTTTACCTACCGAGAAGAAACTTCAGGGTAATATATTTTTGGAGCCATATCTTTTAGTTCAGTTTTAGTACAGTTCTTAATAATAATTTTGTAATTTGGATTTTAATATTTTAACATTTTTAAAGTTGTTTTATAACCTGTAACCTCTTGTTTTTGTTGCATAAACAGCTTTCAGCTATTAAATGCCATTCATTTTCCATTTATTTTTATATAAGGGGGGGCATTCTTAAGATTTGTTTAAGTATTAATTCAGACCAGTTTTAATTATTTTAATGTACCTGACAAATCTTTATTTTTTGCTACATAACTTCCCCAAACATGACCTCCTGACTGCTCCCTTTAATTACGAAAAGTATTGGGGATTGTAACCCACCATATTAAAGAGCAACAACTGGGATAAGGGTTGTGCTTAGGAAACTCAGATGTTTTCCACTCAGCTATTTGACTTCTCTGAATTCAACAGATTTCTTTAGTAGCTCTATCATTATATATTGGTATATGTCACTCACCTTGTTCTTCTTCCCCAAAGCTTTCTTCTTGCGTTTTATCCAAGTTAGCCAATCCAAGATCAGGTGGTCTTGTTTCTGGTTTTTCTCCTTTCCCATCAGAGAATCCCCCATTATATAGAGACATCTGTACTGTACAACTTGATGCAGGACCAAAACCTGCTTTAAGATGAGGTAATGGATCACTGTCAGTTGAAGGAGTCCATTCCCCCAGTTGAATACTGGACTGGGATGCATGACCGAAGGCACTCCATCGAGGCTTTGAACTCTCAGAATCCGAAACCAGCTCTCCAACTTTAAAATGTGACTCAGAGGCATGGCCATGGACATTCCACCGAGGTCGAGAAGTTAGACTTTCGGAAACATTTTCCCCAGTACAGATATTGGTATCCAAAATGTCCCCCTGAATATTCCATCGAGTTCTTGTGGCTTCTACCTTTGGCACATATTCACCGATCTTTATATTAGCATCTGAAGCATGACCATGAATATTCCACCTAGGTCTCGAGAGCTCTACCTCAGAGGCATATTCTCCAACAGGAATATGAGCTATGGAAATATGCCCATGGATGTTCCAGCGAGGCCGGTGAGGCCGTACTTCAGAAGCATATTCTCCAACCTTGATGTGTGCATCTGAGGAATGCCCATGTGGATTTAAATGTGGTTGGGAGAGTTCAGTATGAGGAATGTAGCCTCCTATTTTAATACTCGCATCAGATATGTGGCCATGAATGTTCCACCGAGGTCTCCTGCTTTCAACATTGAACACATTTTCACCAACCTGAATGTGGCTTTGTGAAACCGAAGGCCTGAGAACAGTGTTAAAGTCATATTCATTTTCCAGAGAAGCATGGAAGACTGTTTCTCCTTCTATAGCCTCTTTTGGCAGAGAATTACTTTCCTTTCTTTGATCACTTAAGGAAAGATCTGAATTGATACTTTCCAAAGCTTCATCCAATAGGTTTGTCTGTTGCGTTGTTTGGAGTATTTCTTCCTGAGGTTTTGGCAAAAAATCTTCAAAATTCAGACCAAGCTCAGACATACCCTTTGAAAGTGTTGCCATCTGATCACTACAGGCACTTTGAGAAGCAACTTCTGCTTCTTCTGATTCAGAGCAGTCCGTAGGCTGCACATTTAGGGGCTGTTTTAATTCCAATGACTGATCATTTGAAATGTAATTTGTCAGTTCAGATTTTGTATCTCTCCCCATGTCCATAATCTTTTGATGGTCAGACTCTAAAGAAGTTACCTTGGGTGCAAAAATTGAAAATAATTACAACAATATATATGTAATTCAATTAGATGACTGACTTATATTCAATTATTTTCTTTCACTTGAAGTTTCTGAAATTACTTACTGTATATACAATTTTATTTTACAATTGTACCGGTATTTAGTAGCTCATCTTATTGTCTTCACTAAATATCTCAAAGGGCTCAACAGTGTTTCATACGCCATGGAAATCATCTGGGTTACCACAAACATATAAGCACTAATCAAAGGGCATATTCATAAACCAAATATTCATCTTTAAACCAATCTTTAAACCAATCAACCATATCCATCTTTAAACCAATGGTAGGCTACATGCATGAAGAAAGTCCCAGTTCATGGGACTGCAACTTAAAACAACGATCAGGACAGCTACTTCAAATCTGAATAGAATAAACATGGCTAAAAGGAGAAATGATCTGAAGTAAGATAATTCCCTATATTTATTTTTAAACTGCATCAGTTGTTATTGGCCAAGATGCTAAAAAAAAATATAAAAATGACTTTCTTGAATTCCAGAAATGGTGTAGATATACATGATATACTATTACATGCTATTACTCATTAGAGGTGGAGCAAAGCATTGAAAGGGGTACATTGCAATATGTACCGGTATAATAAAGTACACCCTGAAAGCATTATGTTTACTGTACCAAACTAATCTTAACTTTATAATATTGAAACTTTATCCAATTTTTATACTTTTGAACAGGAAAAGTTATGGCTTTTTAATAACACAGAGCTAAATGACACTTTTTATAGTTGTAAAAATGGCTATTTCAAATATCAGTCTGTGATAAAATGTCTCTTTTTACTAGACATTTTACTAGTTTTTAAACTCTGGCCCCAAGCCATATATGTAAGAAGAAATACAAACCTGAAGATCAGCATCTCTCCCTTGGCCTACAGCCAGCATAACCTGTTGACTTTGGTCTTCTGGAATTATATTTACTTTTTTCCTGTACTTTCCACCAGGGAGTTTTTCAAGCATGTCCTAAACATAAAATAGAAATATTAATGTTTGTAATAAGTAGGTCCAATGTGATTTTTAAAAAAAGAAAGAAAAGTATCAGTACCTCAATATGTTTTTGATCTTTTGACAGAAAATTGAGACGGGCTGCTTCCAGTTTATGCCTCTGAATTCTCCATAAAGCTTTTTTTTCTCTACGAGCTGCATCTTCAGACAGCTTAGTATAACGGTCAATTAACTCTTGTCTAAATGGAAAGAAAAAAATACCACTTGTACCTTAGATCAAAGATACTATTAAAGCAGAGCAAAACTAGCAAAGTTGATTAATACAAATTGCATTATTTCCAAAATAAATTCAGCCCAAACAGTCAAAATCAATGAGCAAGATAGACACTCATGGACTTCAATTTAATGACATTACCTGTAATGTAATTATAGTGTTCAAAGCTTACAAAATAATTACCCAAAAAATCTACCCTAACTATATGCGAATTTACAGAATAAAAAACACAAATGCCACGTGTTGCTGTGTCTTCAGAAAGCACAATACTCTTTCCTACGCAATCAGATGGCAAGATTAATATTATTCTATCATAGTTTGGTACTGTAAGTAAAAATACACTTCAGTTGGTACTTTTGTGTCAGCTTGTGGTAAGTATATTGTGTTCTTTTAATTGTTTACTCTGATTAGTGGTGCATGATCCATTAGATTGGCTGAATTCATCACTATGTTTGACAACTCCACAGACAAAAATATGGCACACTAGGACCATGCAAGGCTTCAGATGTGTTTGGGCAAGGTGTTTCAGAACAGGTTGGAACAGGAATGCAGCTTCTCTCTACCAACTCATGAAAGCAACTGCTTCTTTTTCCATTTAATGAGCTGCAGAGAGGTGCTGCATTTGATTTTCAATATTTCAAATCATCTCTTTTTAAGCTACGCATTCATGATTTAAGAGATTTTTAGTATTAGCATAAAAAATAAACATTCTTGTCAATGCTAAACTAAACCTGCTCTTGATCACTGAAAAATCTGAACATGAAATACTATGATTTGCTTACCTTGCCCTTTTCTCTAAATCTTCTTCTAAAGCTTTCAATCTCTTCTCCCTCTCTCTGAGTTCCCGAGCATAACTAAAATCATCATCAATTTCTTCTTGTTTCAGAGTACGTCGACGCTACCAAAATATTCAGAAAGATTTTCAGAATAATTTTCCAAGACCTTAAACTGAGCTGTATATTTTTTCAGGCAAATTCAATATCCATCCATCCATCCATCCATCCATCCATCCATCCATCCATCCACACACACACACAGACACACACAGCTGCTAGTGAAAATGTACATTTCAGATGAATAAAAACATACCTCTTGATCTTTTATAAATTGTTCTTTCAACTTCTGAAATTGTTCACATTTTTTTACATCCAGTGCCATTTTTTCTGATATCTGTTGATCTAAAAATAAAGTTAAAATGCATATTTTTATAAGAAAAAAACATAGAAGAAACTCAACTAGATTGCAAAGACAAGTGAAAATTACCAGTAATGGCTTTGAGAGCTTTGCTAGCCGTTTCTCGAGCATGAGCAATTAACTCCTGTTTCTCAATTTCCATGCGCAAAACCTAGAAGAAAATCCACATGATTTACTGTAATTTCCAAATGTTATATCATAAAAGGAGACATACATTACATAAATCAGTAAATTTGAAATTCAAAATATTACCACTCAGAAATCAAAATCTTGTCTAGATCATGGACAATGGAATGGAATCATTTCCATTCTGAAATTACTCTGTTAAATATATTTACCTTTTCTTCCTTGCTGATGGTACTATAGCGAGCAATTCTTTCCATTCGACCTACATAGACTGCACAATCTTTCTCAATCTCTTTTAACTCATCCAGGGAGAAGGTTACTGAAATCCGAGGAACAGGAATATCAGACCAGCATATGTAGTGCTGCAAAGATTGAAAGATTAAAACCAACTTTGCTTTTAAATTATACACCTTTTATTTTTCACTAGTTACATACATTGTTTAAAGGCCACAATCCTATACTTTCTGAATCTGCTGGCCTTTATTCCTCCTGTAACCGTATACTTTTAGCAAGTGTTTCTACTACGAAGAAGATAAAGAAATAATCTAAAGCAAGCAATGTAAAAGATATTCTAACCACAACCTGCAAATAAAATGAACTCTAGAATTTCATGGAAATCATGGCACAAAAGGAGATAGGACGTGAAATCCCTAAAACACATAGAGCAGGGATCTCCAAACTTTGCAACTTTAAGACTTGTGGACTTCAACTCCCAGAATTCATCAGCCAGGAATTCTGGGAGTTGAAGTCCACAAGTCTTAAAGTTCCCTAGCTTGGAGGATGCAACTGGACCTTGTAAGAAGACAAAAAGAATAGCCATGCAAGCTGGCAATTCCTTACTATAACAGCCTGAGGTTCCTGCCATCAGCAGTAAAGATAAAAGGATAGGACAGAACAACTTACAAGACTTATCAAATCCAATGCCATTTATAACCTCCTTCTGATACATATGGGAATAAATAATACTGTAAAAAAACAGCCAGAACCTCCACCTATGTTGAACATGATTGGTCACGCAAATAAAAGTGGTATAAATAAATAAACTGGGGTGAATGGGAGAAATCTGCTTTCTCGGACCGCAATCTGAATTATCTAGATGATGGATTGTTGGCACCTAACAAGGATTAGTTTAAAAAAAAATTGGACAAAGCGTGGCAAGGTTTAAAAGGCTTGAAACCAAATCCACTACAAAACGGAAATAAAAATGCTAAAGGACGACAGAAAGAGATTTGTGTAATATAGAAATTGTGCTTCTTAAGCCACTCAAAGAAAACTGAGAAATAACATTAGTTCAAAACGTTCATGCCCTTCAATGTTAGTACTAATGTTTGGAGTATGGAAATAAACATGAGCTTGAGTTCTCAATACAGAATATGGAAGGTACAACAGAGGCTGAGTGAAATGACTATGACTACAACACAGCAAGCGAATTATACTATTTGCAAATTATACTATTTATTCAAAAGGAAACAGAAGCAATACAAAGCAGGGAAGAGGAATTTGTAAATATTAACCCTGCTTGGAGACTACAGGAAGCAAGGAAAAGATGTGGATAGTACCATACTTTCCCAAAGAAAACATGTATCTTAATAAGGGATAAAACTCTATTCATAGAAGACTTATTTCAATATCTATTAGCAGACAAACTCTGCCAATATGTTCCTTCCAGAAATTCCTGATTTGTATTGCTGGCATTTTTCCTTCAAAAGCTTGAAAGAAGGTATAAGAAAATCAGCTGTCCATGACTTGATGCTACTCAATATGGGAAATTAGTTGAAGTAGTGAAAGGAACATGGAAGAAAATGATCACCTAATTTTGGAAATTCTTGATTTTCAGAAAAACTAAAACGGTATACACTCAAGCATTTATTATGGACTTCTAAAAACAAGCTTTTGATAAACTCAAAGAATGACTGGTAGGCTTCGATGGCAAGAGAAACTAATCAGAAAGGGCTCAAGAAGAGAATGGTTTCCTAAATATATTACAAGCACAACTGCAAGCAATTCAGGTGAAGAGGAATAGTGAAGGATAGCAGAAGAGGCCAATAGTACTATACCCAAATAAGACAATATACAGGTAATGGAAAGAAGGTCAGAGCAAAGGTAGGGGCACAGAATTGTAGAGAAAAACATATGGACAGAAAGAGTTTAGGTTAATAAAGAATGCTAAAAATACAAAAATGGGCTGAAAATAACATTTAACAGACAAAACAAACTATGATTTTTTTTAAAAAAGAGTAGGTGATTGTAATTAAATCAGCATTGAGATAGGGCTGCAAAGGCAGTTTTAGGTTGTATCAACAGAAGTCTAATTTTTAAATAACAGTAAATTATCATTCTAGTATATTTTGCTTTAGTCAGATGTACTTTCTGCCCTAGATCCAATTCTGGGCACTATTTCACCAAAGTCTGAAAACTTGGAACAGATTCAGAAAATAGCTACAAAGATGATTAGCAGGTTCAAAAATAAGCCTTAGGAAGAGAGACTAAGGGACCTGGGCATGTTAGCAGTGATAAAATATGAAGTGAGGAGGCATGACAGTATTTCTCAAATACTGGAAGGAAATTTTCAAATAAAATCAGGATGAAAAAAGAGGACAAGCTGTAGAACAAAAGATTAAAATTAGAAGATTTCAAATAAACCTAAGGAGGGAAAAATCTTAGCAGAAAGAACAATCCAGCAATAAAATCAGTGAAAGGTGGTTGACTCCCCTTCGCTGAATTTGTTTGGGTAGAAATTTGATTATCATCTGTTTGAAAGGGCTATAATTTCCAATCCTGCCCTGAGTAGGAGTTGGCATTATATGGACAGAATGGCCCTATTCACTCTAGAAATCTATGGTTTTATCAAAAGCATTCCCTAAAATCTCTATCCTTTGAGTACAAAAGAAAGAAAATTATTAACAGAAATCTCCTAATGATTGCTAGGTTCCAGCTAATATACTTTGGAAAAGAGAAGAAAAATTTCTAATTTACCAAGTCTCTTAGACAATTTCAATATTGCAGAAAAACAATGCCTCTTGCCTATGGATACAAAGAATGAATATCATACTTGATGGTAACGACTGCGAGTATACACAGCCTCTAAAATTATATCAATAGCCTTAGAATTAGTCTTTCAAATATACTAAACAAAATAATAAATTAACTTCTAATACTTACCCTGGGACAACACAGCTTCAGTAAGTTTATAGTTTTCCCACAAATATATACATCATTAGCAATATGTTTCAAGAATACAGGAACACAATCTTCTACTTCTTTAGAAATCAAAACATATCCATGGGTCCAGTAATGCTTGTCTAAGTATAAAGAAGTACAACATATCAAAAAGAGTTCTGAAATATATCGTTTTGGCATGGTTTTAAAGGAATAAAATGCAGTGAGAACCCAAATACTACCCATTTGTTCTTCACAAGCCAGGCAGCTTCCTTTGAATGGCATTTGTGTTGCAAATATTTTTCACTCATTAGGTTCCATTTCTCTCTAGTCCAAAATATCTTATAGAAATAACTGTTGTGTTGGAGAAAAATGAGTGGAGGGAGCCTTATTTGTGTTGCCCTGAGTTCCTGAACAAAACGTGGATTATAAATCTAACAAATAATATTTCAAAGAAAGCTTACCTCTAAAGCCAAGATAATCTTCATTCACCTGAATCATGAATTCACCATACACATCTCTGAATACACCACTATACACCCAGTCGTGGATAAATCTAAAGCAAAAAACATTGGACGTCCTTTTAAAAAAAGATATTCTAGGATGGCTGTTGTATGTAAGATTAATATGATATCACATCGGATTACTAAAAGGATTCAGTTATGGTAACCGGGAAAATCTGTGTGTTCTAAGAAATCTATTATATCATTTTGCCAGATCACTGTGATAATGCATGGCTCCTACCTTGTGTACGGTTCACAGCTTGTTTTCAGTAGGGACAGGAGAACTGGATAATGTTCACTGCTGCAGTTATTAAGAGTCTCTTGGTAGAGATATGAAAGAAGCTTAACTCCCTGAAATACATACAAGCCAGCTTGTGTAAAAAAGCATAATATTCACATTTTTTTCAGTTCAGACTCATTTGCCTGGCTCTATCCAAGAAATCAACTGGATAAAGCTATTGTTGACAGCTGCTTCTTTGCTCAAGTGAGCCTGTTTTAGTAGTTACATATTCAGGCTCTCAACAGGTGGGGAAGTACACAATATTTTTTGCTCAGTTATATTATTTCAAATATTGATGAGTACAAATTTTACAAGTTGAATAGTATAGAAATCCTATCAAACCATTTAAAATGCATGGCCTCTAAACATGTTGAGACCAACTATTTGTTTCAACCAAGCCATAAATAAAAATATACAATTGTTTTTTTGCTGTGACAGAAACAAACCCATGTACTCACAGTTGGAAAGGAAGCACTGGTGCCTCCACCAGCTCCCACAGCAGTCGTTCCTATGCCACAGAGTTCAGCCAAATACCTTAACACAAAGACAAAGCAGTTACATTTGCCCAATCACTTGCAGAGTATTAAAACTGTCCAAGGTAGTGGACAGACAAGATAAGCTCTGAGCTATACCCTGATGTTTGGCTCAGAAGATGATGTTTAGAACCTTGCATCCTTAATGGAGTTTTTATGGAGTTATTAAGGCAAACAAATGATGAGATATCTTGCCTTCTAGAATCTAACCCAGGATTCTCAAACAATATATGTTAACAATATATGTTAAGTGTAAACTTTCAGGAAAAGATAACATAACTATATTTTATTATAGGTCTTGGATTAAATCCAATTTAAATTAACATTTTAATTTATATAATTAAGGTTACATTAACCCTACAATGTTACCTTAGCTGTCGTCCTAGTTTTCGGAAGAGAAAGCTGATTGTTAGAAGAGTTAAAGTCGGGGGAGTGGACAAAACACACGCTCGGTAGTACTGTAAGTATTTCCTCAGTCCACTTGTGAATGCCTAACAACAGGAAAAAGAAAGGTTTTTTTAAAATTAAAAAATATTAAATACAATGTATCTCATAGTTTACTAAACTGGAAAATGGAGATAGGATATGTTAATCTTTTTCAGTGGATAAGGGTCTTTTCACACACTACAGCTTAGTCACCAACCTTTTGAAACATAAAACCATTGTTCAGTAGTGGCACACATTCTCTGCATGAACAAATGAACTTGTGTATCATGTTAAGTTATGGCTTACTTAATCACAGTTGATAATTGAGACACAATTGCATTACTGTCAATTCTTACAGTATAAACCATGAGGGCTACAACACGCTGAGTCAAAACCAAATAATGACAGCTAAAAACTTGGTTTAATTTATATCCACTTATAAATATATAGCAGTGGGCAATCAGAAAGATTTCTACCTAATATAGTCAACAATATATTCTGTACACTACATATACCTACTACTTTGTGGGATGTGGATAACAGTATGTTGAATTCTAAGGCAAACTCTAGCCTTGGAGACCCCTGAATGTATAAATAGCATAAGCAGTATGGAATGGAACTGGGCTTTTGTATTCCTTGTGATATATCAACCAAAATGTGCCAAAATTGACCGGTACTAGTCTTAGGTTACATTATAGAATTTTGGCACAAATATGAATCTGAATGTTGGTTGCTGAATAAATCAAGAACAGTATATCATAGAAGGCATTTGTGAGAATAAATGGAATGCATAACAAATGGTACAATGCCAAGCAGGGAATAAGACAAAGATATGTGGATGCTCCCTTGGCTTTTTCGTGTCTTTATGTGTAGATATACAGTGTACGGAATATTTGTTTCAGTTATTAGGTATATTGGGCTAAGTCTAAGACATGAATCTGCATGTGTTTTTGTATGCAGAGACATTGTTAATGAGGTTAATAAGTTAATGAAGGCATGAGGCACTGTTGTCAGTACCTCCTATCCAAAAAGCACCTTAAATGTTACACCAAAGCTTGGCAAAGCCTTCCCCTAGCCAAGTACTCTGCCTGATTATCAAGCAAGAAGGTAAGAATCCAGAAGAAGTCCCGAATAATGAACTTGTTTCTTCAGGAAAGTGCAAATCCAGTCCCCAAGAAGAGCTAGCTTAGGCCTTGTTAGAGATCTGATGGTTTCTGTAGAGACAGCAGCACTATCCTCTGGGACACAATAGAAGCTTGCTTTGTCCCATCCACTATCTTATGATCTCGAGAGACTCTATAAAGAAATTTACATCATCCCCCTACCTGGCTCAGAATTATATAAGTGAATGTCATCAGCAAATTAATTATACTTCATCCAGAATCAACAAATGATGTGTCTCACTAGTATTGGGAGAGAAAGGAATCATGTAGCATGCATCCTGGAGAGACAAAGAGCTTGATTGGTCAAAACTACTGACTGGAATCACTTGCTCAGAACGGAGACCTACAAAATAGTACCTTCTGTCTGTAACATCACAAGTGTCCACAAGAATGTTATGATCAATGGTATTAGAACATAATGAAAAACATAATAGGACTAAGAGGGCTGCACGACTACAATCTAGGTTCTGGTGCAAGTTATCTATAAGAGGGACCAACACATCTTCAATCTCATAACCAGGTTGAATCCCAAGTGAAATGTAACAGTTAGGTTTATGCATGGACAAGGTTCTGCTTGCTCTCAGCACCTCATTCTCCCTGCACTTTGTGAAGAAGAGTTTTGTACAACTGGAATTTAAATGAACAGCGTAAGAACAAAAGGCAATTTTTTATTCCAAAACAGAGGATATACCAGACGTTACTATTAGGTAAAGAGAAGACTACATTCAACCAAATTAATAATAAAAACTGCAAGTTCATTACCTGAAATACAAGCCCTTTTTTGTATGAGGAGTCCAGGACTGGTTGAACAGAAAAACGGCTCAGTCGTGTGTAATAAGTTCCATATTCAGCCACTTCTGACAGTAGACAGTTCATACTTTCAGGTGAGGTTCCAGATACATAAATGCCTTGTTTCACTACAAATATCTGAACTGCCTATAAAGTTGGGAAAACAGTAACAGGAAATTACTAAAATGCACAGCATAGAATATATTTACTAAGCAAATGCACATCCTCATAAATCCAATTGTGAATACTTAAATGTACTATTTTTATATTAATTTTAAAAATAAAAATCTACTGAATACTGTTAATAATTTTAAGAAAATATTACCTCAATGCTAAATACTAATTTGACATTGTAAGAATATATAAGCTTCCAGTAAAATTAAATACAACATTTTAAGTAATTTAAATCTGTATTTTAATTCAATAGGAAGTTTTTACTATCTAGGGCAGGGGGCCGCCCTGTTTGGAACTGGGTGGCCCCCTGTTCCTGTTTGGAACTGGGCCACAGAAGTGGTGGATGTATGCACACATGCGCAAAGCTGCATTTGTGAAAGTGATGTGCACACACGAAACCATCCTCCTCCCGTCCTGCCTCAGCCAGTCTGTCAAACCGGAAAGGTTGGAGACTGCTGATTAAAAAGAGCACTGGAACATTTATTTTCTATACGTTTCTATGAAATGTCTTTATAATAAATAAATTATAGCCTGAACTTGATTATATAGGACAGAGATCCCCAACTCCTGAGCCATGGAGCAGTCCCAGGCCGTGGCCCGTCAGGAACCACACAAGGCAAGCGAGCGAAGTTTCATCTGTATTTGCAGCTGCTCCCCAGTGCTAGCATCACTGCCTCAGCTCCACCTCAGATCATCAGGCATTAGATTCTCATAGGAGTGAGAACCCTACTGCAAGCTGCGCATTTGAGGTATCTAGGTTGCACACTCCTCTCCCTGATCTGTGAAACAATTGTCTTACACAAAATTGGTCCTTGGTGCCACAAAGGTTGGGACCACTGACCTAGGGTATTGATAATTAATCAGTAAATATATGGCAAATATTCTTTTGTAATAACAAAAAGTTAATTTTACTGAATACATAGTTCATGTCTTAAAATTAAATCAAAGTTATGGCCATTAATATTTGATAATATATTTTTAAACCATTCAAAAAGAATCTGGACAGTTTATGAAATTACTTATAATAGTTAAAAAAGTAGAGCAATTTAAAACATTAGTAAATAGCAACAAATTAACTTAATAATATGGGCATTTAAAATCGGCAACTAATGTATTCTTTCCCACAGTATAAGACTGAGTACTTACATAATTCAATTCCTTTACTTAGTGGGGTTTTTTTAATAATCATGTCTTCCAAGAATATGCAAAATCTAGGAGCAGTCCAATGTCCATTTCCATTTATGGAAACATCTTGCTTGAGAAGAACTATTCTCCTTCCACTATACCTCCTCACCAGCAACAATCAATGTTTATTTCAGGATAGAGGACTCTTTTGAGTCACCTTAGAAGTATTTGGGGAGGGGGGGAGGACAAGTATTACAAAAGAGAAGGGAAAATAAGGTCCATTTTGTGAACCAGTCTCTCTGCTCACAGTATGATGCTGTTCCTAAATCAGTGGCATTAAACCAGAGTTCCTCAACCTTTCCAGCTTTGTGGACTGGTTGGAGGGGGGGGGAGACGGGATGGTTCCAGGCAAGCGGTAAGGAACAGCACACACGCTCACCTATTGCTCGTGCAAATGGGGATGCGTACCCGTTCACTTGCCCGCTTCCACAGCCGAGTTCAGAATGGCACCCAGCCCAGTAGTGGGCCATGGTTTGGGGACCCTTGCATTAAACAATACAATTGATAGATTTTACAAAATTGAGAAATGTATACTTTTCTTAGGCTACTTTGTCCAGCATGATATAATGCAAAAATGCATATATAGTTTTTTCTATTAAAAATAAAACTATTATATACTATATCAAAATGTTATACCTGATTAAATGAGAAGGAAGTGGATACAACTCCAATAAGAACATTTAACACATCTTTAACAATTTCTGGTTCTTTTACTAATACACGCTGTGGTAACTGAAATTTAGTACTGCTGAAAAGTTGCAGTTCTTGTTCTCGAAGTCTGCAAAATTTGTCAAAGGCTTCTCTTCCAGCTTCTGAAAGATATGGCTCCTCTTTTTTCCCAGGTGGACTGTCAGGAAAAACCACAAAAATGTTAAAACTAGAAGTCTGAATTACTGATTATTGACAAAATCATGTATAACATATACGGTTTTCCTTTTCTGTTTGATCTTCAGTATATCTAAGCTATGAATCATGCATAAGTATCCACCATGTTATAAAGAGATGTAGATTACAAGCTGTTTCCAACTTACTGGCAGCTAAGCATTATGGCCCACAATTCCTTTTGAATAAAGACCTTTTTATTAAATATTATTTAATACCTGTTGCATTAAATAAGCACTTGGCCTTATTGCCATGCACTCAAAAGCCCAATTGGGCTTATTATCAGGGGATGTCTTATTTTGGGGAAAACAGGGTACATTATATTCTGAAACCTATTACTATGCATTTCATCAACAATTATGTATCATCCAAAGGAATGCAAATATGCATATTGTTTATCAGTTTTCCTTTACTACTATAGCCTCCACACTATTAGGTGTGCAACTCCACACATTTCCTGTGTTTTGCCCCTATCAAAAATCTAAAGAGGAAGGAAACATAACTGAACAACTTAGATATGAATGTGATATTTTGGATCCAAAGATTGCCATTCTCCAGTTTTCCATTCATTGCAAACAAACAGATTTTAGTTGTCAGCAAGGTAACTCTGGAAATTGAACTGTAGTATGAAATCTAATGAAAAGACTTGGAACACTGTTGTACTAATCTCAGCATTCTCCTGCCCCAAAATAGCTCATTACAAGCACTTTTTAAAAATATAAAGCAAAATACTTACAATCCAATTCTTTCCCAGCACCGTCGTTTACTAGGTCCATAAGTAAGTGCTGCCTCCCAGAGATCAAGATCTGGTGTCACACTGGGTTCTGATTGAGAGTCTGGAGTAAGATTGGATGCTGACTGGAATCCTTCATCTTCAGAAGGATCAATACTTTGGGGAACCTGCAAATATAAACATACTCCTTTACTGTTCCTATATTATTACTTTTAACAATTGTGCTCTGGGATTGTTCTAATAAAAGTAGAGCTTATAACAAATTGTTTAAATTAAAATTAATCTTAGATTTGGTTTGTATCCAACTTTCTATATGAGACAATATTGCTATACTATAACATTCAAACAGGAATAAACAATATCAATAAATGAAAGCAATAAAACATTTTAGAACCCTAAATTGTTGTGAAATATTGGTTGATGTGTCAGAAGCATATTACTGGTCAAGAAACATTTTGTAATGTTGAGACAGGGACAAGGCATACTGATTTTCTTAGTATATTTATGTGAATCACATTATATTTCAAGATGGAAACATACAGCATCAGATCAGAGGGATGCATGAAAATGAAAATCTATATTTTTGTCTTTGTTTATCCTTCCAATGAGCTAATAATTGTGGAATTGCAGAGGTAGAGTGAATGGAGACAGTGGTGCTTCTTAACCAATGTCATCTGTATTCTATAGAGGAAGTATAAATATCAATGAGTTCATTAAAACCAATATTGGCATAGACAAAACAATCTTATACCTTGATTGCAAGTCCAGACAGATCTGCATTGTCAGGCACTGGTGGCAAATCCAACTTGATGTCCATATCATATGTACGACTGTGAATGAGAGCACCAAAGAGCGAGACCCGAGTTTCTCTCTCATATCTGTCCCCCATTGAACAATTCTGTGAAAACAGTTCCACCATAGGAAGACCTGTACCAGGTGCTGCCTCCATAATTTGCAAGGTCTTTTGAATTGTATCATTACATTGAAGTTCTTCATTTGCAATAAAAGCCTGCACGTCTGCTTCAAATATGCTAACGTCATAATAATCATAACCTTGATATTTAGTGTTTCTTCCTACATATTTGTTATTCACGAAATAATCCTTTTTGAGGGGTGAACAATGAGGAGGCCCAGTTCCTGCAAGCTGTACCAGAAAATCCAAAATAGAAGTAATTTCAGTAAATGGTAAGCAAGTAGACTTTTCTAATTCCTCTACAAGTTGCTCCAGCCTGTCTGCTTCTAAGCTCAGTCCAGCAACTCTCAAATTGAAAGACAGCATTAATATTTTGTTTTTCACAGGGAGTCTAGAAAAATTTGACTGAGGAACTTTGTGGGTTTCATCCAGAAAAAGATTAGCAAACAAAGTATTATATACAATCTTTTTGAGACTTTTCCTTGAAATTTTTTTGCTGCTCTTTCTTTTGTTCAAATGGAACTTTGTTGACACAGATACTATGTGAGCCTCACACAAGTCACCAAATAGTTTTGTAATACTCTCCATGGTTCCATCAGTTATGGATATCCACAATCAACTCAGAATGAATCCAGCACTAATAGTCAAACAAGCATTGATTTGTGTTCCTAAAAAAATGAAAGAAAGAAAAATTATTAACATAATGAATGCTGTCTCTATTGATTTTCTCTGCATTATAAAATTAACAGCCAAGACTTTGGCAATGTCCCACTTGCAAACATAACACTGTCATAGCAGCTCAGGTAACTATTAAGGTTTTTGTCAGAGTAATAATCTATTTTAAATCTTTTAGTCTAATTAATACACAAATCTTTAATCAAAACTTGCTACTCTTTTTTCAGAAGACCCTAGCCACATTTTGTATGTGTGTGGGAATTGCATGTGAGCACTTTGGGGTTAGTTTTTGACTCCTGGTGACAGCCTGGACAAGTCTCTGCTTATTTTAATTAGGCTATGACACTATTTTCTGTAATTTCTTTCAAGGTGCCACTTATTTACTTTATATTTCTTGGCAAAACATTATAAAAACAATGCAAGAGAAAAAGGGGCGAGCATGACAGAAAAGAATCCAGCGTAAACTAAATGCATAACCTATCAAGAAAGAACACACACACTTTATATAGAATCAACTGGTGGGCTTATACCACACACTACCTAGGGCAGATGGTGCCAACTATAGCAAAAAAATGAAGTATATATAACTGCGATGAAGAACCAAATTGGGAAGTATAATCTGCAAGAATAAAAAGTATTAGATGCCAGTTTCTGCCCAGCACAAATGTAAATTAGATAACTTGGTACAGTGATGAAGTGAAAGAGACCATGGAAAAGAACTAGCAAAAATAGTTCTATTAAAATAGCAAAAAACTGAAATGCTTTGAGTTAGGGTCTACACTGAACACTGAAAAGAAGGCAGTCAAAGACAACAAGAATGTCAGAATAAAAGCTGCAGAAGCATTTTTCATAGAATAGAATAGAATTCTTTATTGGCCAAGTGTGATTGGACACACAAGGAATTTCTCTTTGGTGCATATGCTCTCTATATAAAAGAAAAGATACATTTGTCAAGAATCATAAGGTACAACACTTAATGATAGTCATAGGGTACAAATAAGCAATCATATTAGGAAACAGTCAATATAAATCGGAAGGATACCAACAACAAGGTTACAGTCATACAGTCGTAAGTGGGAGAAGATGGGTTAATTCATGAAGACTAAAGATGTTTGTAAATGTATGGAGCAGCCGAAACACGGAGCCTCCTGCGTGTCCAAGGGAATTAAAAATGACAAAATTATTTAGAATAAAACTGTAACAGAGGGAATTGCAAGGAGCATTTAAGAGATTTGCATGGGATGATAAGAACAACCAAGAATGATACTGAAACAAATGCTAAAAAAAATTTTTAGTCTCTAAATAACAAAAAGAGAAAGTGTAAATATTGTTACTACTGTATCTTGTCTTTTTATGTACACTGAGCGGATATGCATCAAAGACAAATTCCTTGTGTGTCCAATCACACTCGGCCAATAAAGAATTCTAATCTATTCTAAATGCTGTTAAGAATGGTCAGAAAATGGAAAGGATGCACCTGAAGTTCGGAAGAAGGAGATTATTTTATTATTTACAATTATTTTCAACTGATTCAACGGCTACCTCGCAGATTATCTTCCCCTGCAGAGAAGGGACTACCGTAGCGTGGCGACGGGTAGAATTCCCTAGGTAAGTAGCAACGTACAATGCCTCCTCTCTCCGCCATCGGCACGCCCCAGTGCTGGCTGGGGATGATGGGTCTTATAGTTCGGCATCCTTGTTGCTGCTGTTGTCGGTATCCTAGAAGCCACCAATTTGGGAAAAAGTGGGGAGCAACGTAGAAAGGCGGAGGGTTCTATGGCGTTCGGAGGGAAAGGAAACCCGGGCGTTGGCGGACGACAGGCCCGGTTCCCGTCTCCAGGAAAGGTGGGTCGTCCGGGTCTCGAGCCACTTCTGGTGGGTCGCCGCCCGCCCGAGGTGACGGAAAACAGGCAGGCAAGAAAGCCGGAGCTCCTAATTGGACAACTGGGGGACTCCGCACTTGACGAGCCTGGGGTAGCCGAGTCGAAAAGGCGCCATTTCCCCCTCCTCTCCCAAATAAATTATTATTATTATTAATAATAATAATAAAAAGCTTTCCCTCATCCCACCCAGGTCGCCAGTCAGGGAGACCTTCCGCCGCCTCCAACGCTTAAAATTCAAAGAAAAGCCGACCTACCGCGGGACACGAAAAGAAACAGCAGGATTGAGGCGGAGCTACCGCAGGAGGGAGGAGTCAGGCAGGCGCAGAAGAGCCGCCTGGTAGGGAAGGGAGGCACGTAATAGGCGGGTGGGCTGGGATCGATGATCTCACCCTGATAAACCAGGGAGGAAGGTTCGGGCTCCGGCGCTCAACAAGGCGGAGCGTGAAGGGAGAAGGGAGGCGATTGGCTGGCTGGGAGGCGGGGGGTGGAGCTTATTGGGTGTGTATGCAAGGCGCGCGCGCCTGAAGCAATAATCTCGCGCAGTCCTATATTGGGACGCTACCCTGTACGACAGGGGTCTGCAACCTTGGCAACTTTAAGACTTGTGGACTTCAACTCCCAGAATTCCTCAGCCAGCAAAGCTGGCTGAGGAATTCTGGGAGTTGAAGTCCACAAGTCTTAAAGTTGCCAAAGTTGCAGACCCCGCTGTACGAGGTTAAAGCTCTGATTTCTTTCCCGGTCCTGAATTAAATGGCTTGTGTAGGTTTCCAACAATACGCCCCCCCCCCCCATCCAAAAACCTCCCACCGCGCGTTGGCTATAGCAATTGACATGAACATGCTCCACGGGTGGGGATAGAAATGCAGGCAAGAGGTTTTAAGATTTTCAAGCTTAACAGCAGTGAAACACCCGAGGACAAGAAAAGGGGTTCGAGTTCTTCAAGATGGGACCTGGCTTTTTTATATATGACGGGTGATGCTTGCTAATTGGCCTGTATCTTTGGTGAATTGACTGATTTTCAAGTAGTCGTCCGAATCTAAAATTGGATTAATGTGTATATCTTGGCTCAGGTTGGGATTGTGTTAATACAAAACCTGTGGTTTTGTGCAGCATAGTAGATAATCCTGAATGAATTCAGTATAATTTTCATGTACAAATTATATTCCAACTTCATTACAACTAGTTGATGCCCCACCCCGCCCCCCAGAACCAAATTCACTTTTATTCAGTTCCCAGCACATCTGAATAGATTAGAATTCTTTATTGGCCAAGTGTGATTGGACACACAAGGAATTTGTCTTGGTGCATATGCTCTCAGTGTACATGAAAAGAAAAGATACATTTGTCAAGAATCATAAGATACAACACTTAATAATAGTCATAGGAAACAAATAAACAATCAAATCATATTAGGAAACAGTCAATATAAATCTAAGGATACCAGCAACAAGGTTACAGTCATACAGTCATAAGTGGGAGGAGATGGGTGATAAGAACAATGAGATTAATAGTAGTGCAGATTTAGTAACTAATTTGACAGTGTTGAGGGAATTATTTGTTTAGCAGAGGCATGGCGTTCAGGAAAAAACTTCTTGTGTCCAGTTCTGGTGTACAGTGCTCTATAGCGTCGTTTTAAGGGTAGGAGTTGAAACAGTTTATGTCCAGGATGTGAGGGCTATGTAAATATTTTCACAGCTCTCTTTTTGACTCGTGCAGTATACAGGTCCTCAATGGAAGGCAGGTTGGTAGCAATTGTTTTTTCTGCTAAGTCTTTACTGAAAGTTTGCAAAAATTGAGTAGGAGTCCATGTACTGTAATTGGATACATACATGTAGTGATCTTGGAAACAATATAGAAGCTTTCTCTGGAGATGTTTTTTAACTTCCTAGTCCAACCTGCAATAACAGCACTCCGTGACATCATGCTGGCCAACATGACCATGGAAATGTCTTTGGACAATGCTGGCTCAATGGCCTTGAAACAGAGATGGGCACCGTGCCCTAAAGTCAGCAACTATTAGCGGAGTAAAATCCGCAGGGACTCCTTTCCTCCTTTAGTCCAACCTGCAATTTCTCCAAGTACAACCAGTGCCAATCCTATTTAACTTTCAGTTCCAGACTACATCAGACAGATGCCATGACCTGCTGAGTAATATAAGAAAACATTTTTTCCTCCAGTTACGGCTTTTTGCTCCAATTATTGGTCATTGTTGAAATATTTAAAACTTCACTAACATCCCAAAGATATTGGTAATCTTACTGATCATACATTAAAGTGATTTCTTACACATGTAAAATCATCTCATGAGAGTTTGTAATTAAGTTTATTTAACATTGCAAAAATTATACATGAGAAATAGGCTTTACTCAGTAGTTGACATTATTCAGATTTAATTTATAAATATACATGTCAGCGGGGAGTTACTACAGAAATGCAATCCCATTTGTGATCCCTATATCTTTTTTTCCTTGGCTTGAGCTAAAGATATTAACCTCCTTTTCCATATTAAAAAAGTAGAGCTCTACAGTGCTAATTGGCTGCCTACTTAAGAGCAGGGCCACACAAAGCCTATATATCACAACCCCTTGTTTGCCAGAAGTTTGTAAAGACTAAAAGGACACAATAAACCAACTAACAGAATAACAAAATAGCAGAGTTGGGAGGGACCTTGGAGGTCTTCTAGTCCAACCCTCTACTCAAGCAGGAGACCCTATATCATTCCAGACAAGTGGCTGTCCAGTCTTCTTAAAAGCCTTCAGTGATGGAGCACCCACAAATTTTGAAGGCAAGCCGTTTCACTGGTTAATTATTCGCACTGTTAGGAAATTTCTCCTTAGTTCTAGGTTGCTTCTCTCCTTGATTAGTTTCCATCCATTGTTTCTTGTCTTGCCTTCTTTGGCAAATAGGTTGATCCCCCCTTCTTTGGGGCAGCTCCTCAAATATTGGAACATTGCTATCATGTCTCCCCTAATCTTTCTTTTCACTAGACAAACCAAATTCCTATAACCATTCTTATGTTTTAGCCTCTAGCCCCTAATAATCTTTGTTGCTCCTTTCTTCACTCTTTCGAGTCTCAACATTTTTTATAATATGGTGACCAAACCTGGATGCAGTATTCTAAGGGTGGTCTTACTAAGGCTTTCTAAATGGTATTAATATCTCACGTGATCTTGATTTTAACCCTCTTAATGCAACCTAGGACTGTGTTGGCTTTTTTTGGCTGCCGTTGCCCATTACTGGCTCATTTTTAAGTGATTGTCCACTAGGACTCCAAGATCTCTCTCTCAGTTACTGCTATTGAGTCAGGTTTTACCTAATCTATACCTGTACATTTGATTTTTCTTGCCCAAGTATAAAATTTATTATTTTTCTTATTTTTCATTTTGTTAAATAGGTCCCAGTGTTCAAATCTGTCAAGATCTATCTGGCTCTTGAGTCTATTTTCTGTAGTGTTGTCTATTCCTGCCAGTTTATTGTCATTGGCAAATTTGATGAGTTTCCCTTCTATTCATGCATTCATTCAGTATTCATGCAATATTCATACATTTATACAGTACATATAAAATATTTATACATTTTTACTGTATAAAATTTTAAAAAGTCTTTATAGCAAAGCCAACAGCATTTCTAAAGTTAACGGGCTAGAAGGTAGTTTTCAATATAAAAATTATATAAAAATCAGTTCAGAAACATTTTGTGCCCTTTTATTCATAAAGCATATCTTGTTCTGATCTTTTGTTTTGTTTTCTTGTGGAAGAAAAGAGATTGTTGAAATCAAGATTACTTTCCATCTTTGAAGTTCTTTGCTACACAAAACAAAAAGACAAAGTAGTCAGATTTTGTAACAAAAATGCTCTTGAGAATCTCTAACCTCAAGTAATTCAAAGCTCAGCAGTAAGATATTTAAAGGTAATGAAGATTTACATTTTGTTTTCATTCATCTCTGATTGATTACCTGAACATTGAAGCAATTTCCATTCCTGTTGAAATTGCGCTCTTAATTCTTTTATCACTTCCACATTCTCCTGTAAATCTGGTGCAAAGTTCTCAAAGTTGGGTATAAAGTCACCTGTTAAGATGTTGGCTATATCTTGCATTATTTTTTCTTCAGTATCCTTTAAAAATAAAGTAAAACACTTGCATAAATGTGTACTGATCTCCAAAAAAGAAAAAGAAACAGCATTTTATTGCTTGCAGTGTCATTTCTGAGAATTTGTAGTCTATTGAATGACTGTATTGAATTACTGGACTAAGCCATAATACGGCTTGCTTAGTTTTGGTTTAGTGAATTGTATAACTAGACCTCTGTGGTTGGTAAACCTTGGTTTATAGCTTGGCATTTTCTGCAAACCTAAACAAATTGGAATTATTTGGTAAGACACAATGAAACACACCATGATTAGTGCAATGTGGGAATATATCCATTTAGGAGTCAGTTATCTTTAATATTATAAATCAGTCTTCTTCAACTGTAAGGTGGAACTCCTGAGAAATCTCTCAGCAATTTGTGAGGTCAGAATCCTTATATAAGTGTCTGTCTATATCCGTGATGGCGAACCTACAGCATGTGTGCCAGAGGTGACCCGCAGCACCCTCTCTGTGGGCATGCGAGCCATCACCCCAGCTCAGTTCCACTGGGCGTGCGCCTCCCACCAGCCAGTTGGTCTTTGTGTCTCTGCCACGCATGCGCAGGGGGCAGGGCACAGGCGTGTGGGGGGCGTGTGCATGCACGGGTGGGACACATGCGGGGGTACACACATGGGAGTGGGGGATGAGCGCATACGGGGAGCTGTATGTGCATGGCCAGGGTGGGGCGCATGTGGGGACCGCACCCGCATTTTGGGTGTTTGGGTGCACATGCATGCATTTGTGCGCATGCATGCTTTGGCCACTCGGTCTGGAAAAGTTTAGCCATCACTGGTCTATATTGTCCCAGGGTGCTTTTCCTAAAAGGCAACTGGACTTTGGTTTTTTCCCTTGAAAACGTTTGTTTTGTCATCCAAGAAGTTTCTTCTGAAAAAGTTTCTTAGATGAGAAGCAGTTTGTATGTGTACGTGTAATCAGGCTAGAGCAGGGGTGTCAAACTCGTGGCGTCACGTGATGTATCACATTTTTCCCCTTCGCTAAGCCAGGCGTGAATGTGGCCAGCGCATGATGCATCCGGTCCGTGGGCTTGACAGCCCTGAGCTAGAGCAATGAAACAGAAGCACTGTCAAAATCTTGCTCTCAACTTTTTTCCCCCCCCTCCCTTTATCTGGGCATGATGGCTAAAAGTTTTCCCAAAGTGGAATGGATTTTAACGATGGTGTCCTGTCAAAACTTGCTTTGAGTTTTGTTCCTTGCTTTGCCTGCATCAGCTCGGTCTAACAATGGAAAGTTGTGATGTTACAAAGTTTGAGAACCCCTGGTGATAAATATATTGAGTTATTAGTAGGAAGCTTCATATATCTTTCTTGCTAAATTCTAACCACAATGAAATCATTCATTGTATTTGGGAGGGGTGTTGTTTCACATATGTTCATTTATTATTTTAGAGATGTCATGATGCTGCAGAGTTAAAGAACCTCTGCAATAATTGTTATGCATGTTTTGTTTGTTTGACTTATTTAGATTTTCCCAAGATCCAGGCATAGGAACATAAACAGAGAAGCAAAGCTGAATTATTCTTTAGATTGAATCTCAAAAAGTTGCTTTGGCACACAGATACAAAATATTGTCTGAACCACTTTAAAGACAACACATCTTTTCTTTGAATTTTCAGTTGCCTTTCATTCTCTTTTAGAACCGAAATTGAAATGCTACAGCACCTTACTAGATTCTTCATGTATTTGCTTCAGGAAAACAAGAGAATCTGAAACTATAGACAGTTTTAGAAGGAATTACTCACACATTTCCCCTGGATCCTTTATTCTAAAAAATAAGCTATTTTGTTGTAAAACCACTTATGTACTCCTTACCTGAATTACAGCAAGAATCTGAGATTCTGCTAATCCTTGCAGTAAACTAATAAGCAAGGAAATTCTATTTTTGCCAAGGTTCTGGTTTGGTCCAACAATTACAATGGTTAAATTAGGCTGATAGCTGTATGCAACTGGAAGAATAAATCCAAAGGTAGCAGAGAAGAAGTTGTTGGTTTTAGGATCCTTCCAAAAAGAAACAAAAAATTAAAATATTTTGGTTTTATTTATGTTAATGAATGTTAGCATATTAAAATTATCCAAAACTAAATTTCTTAATTTCTCAATATAAAAACTATATTTACATATTACTTGTGTAAAGGGATCAAAAAACCTGAGAGACCTATAGGGCCATAACACTAACATGCAGTTCTTTCCAGCCCAATAATTAAGTATATGAATGCTCAGAAGCTTGATGTTTACTTTCATCTATGTGGGGTGAAGTAGGGGTAGGAAGTATTCACCTTCTGCTGACTGTGACTTAACCAGAAGAGGTGTTTTGAATTTTGGGGGGGATGGGGAAGGGGTTTAGCCTCTTGCTTTAAACATTGGAGGCTTCCTACATTCAAATTATGTGCATTCATACTGTTAAAAAAACCCTCAAAATTATGCTGCTGAAATTTGGCCATTTTGCTGCTGAACATCATTAGTAAAATCTTGGAGTGTTTTTATTTGTACTGGTCTATGACTGTGATAAACTGAATAGGTTGAATAGGTCTGCATGGACAAACTTTTGTTGTTCCTGGATCCCAGAGTGAACAAACAAGTAACTCTTTTCATGTCTGATTAATATAATCAGACTTCCTTGATTCAGATGTCCATAAAAAACTATGTGGAAGTCAGTGGTGGGAAAAACCATCTACCTGTTTTACAATTGTGCTTTTTCTCAGTCCTTTCCAATTCATGCCAGGAAGACAAGGGTTAAAGATTGTGCTAACGTTTCGAAGTTTCTAAAAATGATGCGCCAATTTCTTCCACCGTAGCAGTTCTTCAGTTTATCCCAAATATATTTATAGCATTTGCTACAAGACTGATTGATTGGTTATTAAATTTATAGCCCACCCAACTCAAAGCATGACTCTAGGTGGCAAACTGTACATTTCCAGCAGGCAGAATTATCAGTTGGAGCACAATATTCAAATATTTGCATGTCATCCACATTCTAAATCTCCACAGTGAAAATTGCTGAATATATAGTTCAACTCAAAATTTATGTCCTTGCATTCTCACTAAATCATACTTCGGTGATAAAAAAAAAGACCATAAAATGCCACACCTACTTCTTTCCAGTTGAGAGAGATATTGTGTTTGGTGTTAACTTGTTCAAAATGTTTAGCACAAATATTGATCAAGAGCACTTTGCTGTAAAACATTAAAGAAAATAGGTTCTATAAATATTAACTCTATAAAATAGTTGCCACACTGGTAATAATAAAATAAAGCAAATACACATATCTGGGAAATATACAAACTGTAAAGAACTGCTATAATCAAATACATGTTTTAGATGTAAAATTATTCTAATAAAAAAAAAGAGAAGGCCTTTTGGGTTAAAATTTGGTGGGTTATGCAGAATGTTTTGAAGAAAAAAATTCAGTTTTCTCCACAATTGTTTTTATTGGGTATAGTTAAGGGTTTTACATTGGGTGAAACAAAGTTGATATTGTATATGATAACAGCAGCGAGATTATTGATAGGTCAATATTGGAAAAATGAAGCTATGCCCACTATTGAGGAATGGACTTTGAAGATGGCCAGCTTTGCAGAGATGGCGAAGATTTCAGCATATTTAAAAGATCGCTCACAAGAGACTTATGAATGGGAATGGAAAAAGTGGATAGATTATGTGCAGAATAAATATCAAACTAGGAAATATCAGATAGCTTTTAACTGAACGTATTACATAAAGATAGAAATATTTGAATTTTGTGAAGATGTAAAAAATATACAGGGGGTAGAGGGGTTCAAGTTTTATAAAAAGGGGATTTCGATTTGGATTATATTCTGTGGAAGTCCAGGGGGGAGGGGTGGGTTGGGGGGGGTTGGGGGGGGTAGGGAGGGCTGGGGGGGGGGGAAATTGGGGAAAAATGTAATTGTAAAACTTTTTCAATTAAAAAAAAAAAGAGAGATTCAAAGTTCCATGTTTTTCTTACGAAGCCCCACTGACCTTAGCAGAATTTCATTTTCAGAACCAACTGCACAAATTTAAATAAACTGGTTGCAATACTCAGACTTACTCATCATCCAACTCAATTTTCATGTCCATGTCACCTACAAATACACACAGGACTCTGCAAAACAAAATATTTCAAGATCTGTTATGCATATATATAATATTTATTTATATCCTACCTTTATTATTTTTTATAAATAACTCAAGGTGGCAAATTTACCAAATACATCTTCCTCTTTCATTTTCTTGCAATAACAACCCTGTGAGATATGTTGGGCTGAGAGAGACTGACTAGTCTCAGGCATAACTAGAAGTAGCCTGGTGCCTTAACCAGTAGACAAAACTCAGTAGACAAAACTTAATTGAAATCCAATTTCTTTTACTACCGGTTCTGTGGGCGTGGCATGGCTTGGTGGGCGTGGCAGGGGAAGGATACTGCAAAATCTCCATTCCCTCCCCATTCTGGGGCCAGCCAGAGGTGGAATTTGCCGTTTCTCCAAACTGCTCAAAATTTCCGCTACCAGTTCTCCAGAACCTGTCAGAAGCTTCTGGATTTCACTGACAAAACTTTATGATAAATAGCTTCATTTATGTAAGGTAATCTGATAATGGACTACATAAAAAAACTGGCATAGCTGAGAGTCCAACAAAATTCACCATGTATAGCCAGCTACCATTATAATTGCAGTATGAATAAGAAATCCTGAAAATTCAGTGAAGGAATTGATAATCTAAACCTCTAAATTTAAGAGCTCTTTTATAATTCTATATGTATAATTCTGACAATATGCTAACTAGAAAAAACAATTTAAGGATATAGCATATATGGCAAAAGTTTCCTAGTCTATAAATTAATATTATGCATCATGAACAACGGACGTGCAGTCTAATTTATTTCTATCCAAGTAATATATTCTGTATTCATTCAGTAGCAGCAAACCTCTGCTTTTTACCGTAGCCCATCCATCCCCTAGGTATACGGTACCTATTTAGTCTTTTTCTACCACCACAACTATGTAGTCTTTTGCGTCTTCGTTATCATATACATTCATAGTATTCTTAAAATGGATCAAATTGCGCACAGTGCAATTCTGAATAAACTACTCAGAAAAAGATCCCACTGTGTTAAATGGAGTTTATTCATATACTAATGAGTACTGTTCACTCTGCATATAGAGTGCGTATGTATATAAAATAGCCCAGGTTATGACAGATTCATTGCTTTTCAAAATCTGTCAAGAATTTTCCCAAGTCCCTAAATAATAGACAATGTTAAGAACTGAAAGCATTAGTCAAAAAAGTCACAATATTTAGAGTTGTGCACGCTTTGAAAAGGTGTTGATAAAAGAGAATATCTGTGGGGTCTTTGGTGCTCTCTGAGTTTGTGGTTTTCTTGCAGACATTTCACTGCCAAACAAGTTAACATCTATTTGGTAATGAAAAGTCTGCAAGAAAACCACTAAGTTCAGAGAACACCAAGGACCCCATTGAAAAAATGCACTTGGTTTGCAGAAGATGGCTAATTAAAGTTAGTATGATTCCTAAAAACATTAAGACTTTTTTTCAGGCTCATGCAGATGGCTAAAAAAATTTAACTATTTAAATAGTAGAGAGGTGAATGAATGGTATATGAATAGTAGAGAGGTGCTGCCTTAATGTGACATTCACAGAATGTCTTTGAATCATTTTTGAATAATAATTTATTACATTGTCCTTTAAGTACACAACTGTGCAAGAAAATATTAGGCACAACATTCTTATACCTACTTTTGTACCTTCAGGTTTTGACAATGTGCTATCGCAATGGCAGAAGAAAGTGAAGGTGTAGATGAAACTGCAAGCCCATTGATCACCTAAATAACATGATAATAATAATTAAAATGTTACTATTTTATTTAATATTACTTACAATCAAGATTATATAGCTGTATTGCCTTATATGGATACATTCATTGCATATAAATGTCTAGATTGGTATAGTTATAAGAACAAATAAAGTCTCTGCAAATACTGTAAAATTTATATCAAAACAAAATATTTGGACATTTAAAAGCATATCAAGTCTGGATATGTTCCTATTCTGCCACAAAAAGAATAACTTTATTACATTATTACATCTAGAGAAGGATCTCTATTTGAAGGGCTACCAGCAAACACAAGTGTCTGATGACATATTTTCCTTAAATTAAACAGTCAGTTAAATCTTAGTAATGCACCAAATAGGAATGTTTAGTCTGTTTACAGGATACATTCATGTTCTGATTTCAATCAACCAATATTAAGAAAACATTTTGATATGGGACAAATAGAAAGAAACTTAGGCTTCCCCAAGTATAAACAGAAGGATTCCAATTCTAAAAAGCATGTTGTTCGCACAAAGAATTTTGATTAACTAATTAACTAAACACTAATAATTTGGTAGCACCCTCTACTATTCATTTGGGCATATTAACTGTGCAAAGAGGGAATTATTGTCATTTAAGTTAACAAAAGTATTAGGACTGACTTAGGTGGCTTGAAGTTGTTTTCTACTCAGTAACTTTTATCCTAGCAAAGATTATGCATGAATAAATGTCTACTTTGGCATAGAGATGGACTACTTCCCATCTGGGCCTCTTCAAACTCTTACATAATTTTGTACAGGCATGTATACAAGTCATACAGCCACAGATATACAGTATAGGGAGGATGGAGGCAAATAATGAAATACATATCATGATGCCACAATTATTATTTAAATATTTTCTTCTGCCAATTTACTGTTTTTATAAAACAACTCAAGACAGTGAACACACTTAATACTCCCTTTTCCTCCTATTTTCCAACAACAAATTTTTCCAACCTGTGAGGTGAATTGGCTGAGAGAAAGAGAGTGACTGACCCAAAGTCACCCAGCCGGCTCTGGGACTTATATCCCACACTGGAACAAAAGCCAAGATCTGCATTGTTATTTCTTTGGCCTTGTGGTTACCTGAGGACATTTACTGTATGCACACAGCCCATCTTGACGTCAAGCAAGCTTTTCCAGCTCTAGCAAAAATGTTTAATATTTATTCATAAGATGTGATTTACTGGTTTCAGAAAAATTATTCACACCTCTGTAACCCAGGTTAGTCTTCTCTCTATACAGTTGACAGGTTTACTGAGTTAATTGAAATGTGTTATTGTTACTAGCATTAGCATTTACATTACAGCACGATGCCCAAGGTGGGAATATATGCAGCCTTTACCTTAGCAGTAATAGAGAAATTATGCAGCAATTAGTGTAATGGGATAATAATGCATTGTTCTAGGAGAATATAAAGAGTTAACCAGCCATATAATAATTGGGTAGTTAAGCATGCAGATGGAACTTGTGATATATCTCTTTAAAGAGAATGAATTTACATCCTAATTGCTTGAGAGACATAATGTGAGATCCACCAGCCTACATCTAAGATGCTATGGAAAATGACCAAAAAAGAAACATATCAAGTGGTTTTTTTTATTTTGGAAAAAAAAGGCAACTGGACTAAAATATATTTAGTTCTCCTCAAGACTAACTAGAAGAAAATACATCATTTCGAATCAACCCAGTTTTCCAAATGATTAACATTACCTCCTTTTTAATGATTTTGTTAAGGACAGCCAGCATGTTCAAGAGTAAGTTTAGAGCTTCTTCTTTCATATTTTTCACATCAAATGCACTGTGAAATACATATATTTGAATGATCATTATACACCAGAACATTTGGAACAATTGTACTTCTTGAACAACATGTTGAGGTTTGAATTTATGACTTTTTAATGGACATATAAAAGTTGCCCAAATTATAAATTACTCTGCATACTGTACACTAAAAGTGTTGTCCCTATTATTCAGGAGGAATCTTATATTAACTGCAACATTAATTAACCCATAGCAATTTCTTCTTGCAACATAATAGAAGGACTTTTGAATTCTGGATAAACAAATTATCACTGTGGGGAGGGTGGGGTTTTTTGTTTTTTGTTTGTTAATATGGGGGATTTTTAAATGTTATAAGACGCCTGGAAACACCTCTGTGTGACTTTGGCAGCCTTATAATTTTGCAAAATAAATAAATAATCACAGGCCACTTCTAATTGATCTTCTACCAGTAATCCTTGATTTACGACCACAATTGGGCCCAAAATTTATGTTGCCGAGTGAAACATTTGTTAAGTAAGTTTTGCCTCATTTTGCAATCTTTCTTCCCACGGGTTGTTAAGAGAATCATTGCAGTTGTTAAGTTAATAACGCTGTTGTTAAGTGAATCTGGCCCTCCCATTGACTTTGCTTGTCAGAAGGTCACAAAAGCTGATCACATGACCCCAGGACACTGTTACTGTCATAAATATGAACCAGTTGCCAAGCATCCAAATTTTGATCACATGATCATGGAGAATGCTGCAAGTGTGAAAAATGGTCATAACTCACTTTTTTCAGTGCCATTGTAACTTTGAATGGTCACTAAATGAACTGTTGTAAGTAGAGGACTTCCTGCACTTTACACAGACAAGCTTTTGCTACCAATCCTTTTAACTGGAGAGACTGAATGTTCTTTTTCACCAAAAGCTGAATACTAAATATTTGGTTGTATCATGATACACTCTGTTTTGAGCCGGTGAACAGTATGGCTAACCTGATAGTAGTTTTGAACTCTTTCATATCCAGTCCTTTTGGAATGTGAACAGTTGGTGGGAGCAGGTATGCACCACTCTCACCAACAGCAGCTGCGGTTTTAATAGGAGGTTTCAAAGACAAAATGCTTTTCATATGCGTCTCCAAAAACCTATCTGTTTTGATGACTTCATTGACATCTCCCTTTCCAACTTCTTGAGGACTCAGGAGTTCCACATTGGTCTGTGTAAGCTCAGCTTTTTCTGCTTGACAGGATATAGTACTGAGATCTTGCACTGGGGTTACATCTGGAAACAACAACAGAACAGAGCCTGTCTCCATAGCGAAGACAAATTATCCTTGTTTTCGTCAAACCAGTGGCCTCCAGATCAGTTGGGATTACAACTCTCAAAATTCTAGCCAATTTATGGAAAGTTGATTATGCTAGTTATACTTGGGACTTGGGTATTGCCACATTTTCAAATCTCTGAACAGATTTCTGGGGGGAGGGGGAAGCATTTAGCTCAGAAATGATTCGTTTAGTTCAAAATTTTAACATTATGGAACAGTAATGGGACATACTACCAATAATGGTGGACCTGCCCTAAAGCAGGCAAATATTGGTCCAGGGTCCAGAACTGGATAGTGGAAATTACAGGTTATAATATAGAGCTGAAACCTGAAGTTTTCTTATTGGGAATGAAACCAGATAAAATAACTAAGGAAAAATGGTACTTGATCCTCCACATCACTACTGCAGCTAGGATATTATACGCGCAAGAGTGGAAAAATGAATTAATATCCACAGAGAATAAATTGATTTGGAAAATTTTAGAATGCACAGAGGCAGATCGGTTAACGAAATTACTTAGGAACCAAAAAGATTCTGATTATTACGAATGTTGGAACCTATGGTATATTTGGGTGAAAGAAAAGAGAGGGAAATGAAATGGATCTTATCAGTGATCTAAATTGTATAGGCGCATATGTGTGTACGTTCGTTGCAATAATTTTGTATGTGTATATGTAAAGAATTGGTTTTTAAAAAATGGAAATAAACTTATTTAAAATTTTTTTTAACTTTATTGTTTTTAGTAAAAACATATTAAAAATAGAGTGTTTTTACATTTTTGTTGCCTAGTGTATAATATTTAACAATCCTCTTATTGTTGGAGCTATATACTATGATCTACAAGTCAGATAGATGGGTTGTGCCTACTTTGAAAATGAGTTGGAAGAAATGTTTCAAAGTAGAGGGAGCACACTACTTCATTAAAGCAGCTGGGATTTTCCCAACTGCTCCAAGAAAGATGATGATGTAGTTCCATTAATACAGAGGTGTCAAACTCATGTAGTCACAGCGGTGTCACGTGACACGGTGGGTTTCTATTTTTTTTACTACCTGTTCTGTGGGTGTCGCTTGGTGGGCGTGGCAGGGGAAGGATACTCTAAAGTCTCCATTCCCACCCCACTCCAGTGGAAGGATGCTGTAAAATCTCCATTCCCTTCCCAATCCAAAGGGAGGTTACTACAAAATCCCCATTTCCTCCCTATCAGCTGGGACTCAGGAGGCAGAGAATAGATGGGGGCAGGGACAGTCAGAGCTGGTATTTACCAGTTCTCCAAACTACTCAAAATTTCCGCTACCGGTTCTCCAGAACTGGTCAGAATCTACTGAAACCCACCCCTAACGTGATGTATCGGGACTTTTCACCCCTTCGCTAAACCAGGCATTGGCGTGGCCAGCGCATAACGCATTGGCCTGCGGGCTGGCCGTTTGACAGCCCTGCATTAATGAATCAAAGCATCATGTCCTTATTGCAACTCTTTGTGCTTATGCTCCCACATTCTGAAAAACACTTCTTTTGGTTGATATTTTTAAGTATACAATCTTTAAGTACATGCAGCATATTTTTAAGTACACTCATATTTTTAAATTAATTCAACTCCAGTTATTTCAACCAAATATACTGTCATAATTATTCACGCTAAATTTGCCACCGACATCCTTTATATCATCAATCTTTCATTTGACAATTCAGAAAGAAGAAGAATAACTTTAGGACAAGTTGTTAATTTATATTGACTAAATTAATTTAGTCAATATATTGACAATTTTGTGACTTTATCACCTGGCAATGTTAAAATTAGCCAATCTAGTTTATAATACTGCTTCTGAATTGAAATAGGAATTTGATGACTTGTTCTACTTAAAGATCTGCTTTGGAATATTTAAACTTGATGAGTGAGATTTCTGTGAGTTAAGAAAAAGATAGACAGTAAACTAAATCTAGAAATGTTTTAATATCTGCAGAAATATATAAAGAAAAAAGGCAATTCCTGCCATTACCTTCATATGTCAAACACTTCCAATATGGCTTATGTGCAGCTCTCACATTCTGAATGGATTCTCTTGCACTAAAAAAGATCAAATGCATTAAATCTCTTTAAAAAATATTTTTAAACCTCTATATTTTTTAATACTAAGAATCTGTATAAGTGTTATTTGTAATGATATATGCCACAAAAACATGAAGCTACGGTATCTAAAATACAACTTGTATGAAATAAAATTATTAAAGCATAATAAGGTAGGTACAGTATATCAATATTTAATATCCCATATGGCTGTATATGGATTTTTTCTACCATTCTTTGTAATTCCCAGGATTTTCTAATATGTAGACACTTCAAAAAAAAAAAAAAAAAGAGCTCAAATCTACCTATTTTGTTGAAAAAATTCTTTCATATAAGCCAGTGTTTCTTAACCTTGGAAGCTTGAAGATGGGTGGACTTCAACTCCCAGAATCCCCCAGCCAGCGCTGCTGGCTGGGGGATTCTGAGAGTTGAAGTCCACCCATCTTCAAGCTACCAAGGTTGAGAAACACTGATATAAGCAGTGGAGATTCTTTTGGATATATAGATTGGCATATTTGTAGGCAATTAAGCAAATCTACAGAGGCACTTGAATTATTGGAATAGAACAATGTAATTCTATACTTTTGGTTTCATTCAACAACAGGGTGAGCTCCCGCTCTTACCAAACTAGCAGTTCAAAAGCATGCAAATATGATTACTTCTTCAGTAGGAAGGTAACAGCCTGCTTTGTGCTTTTGGAGTATAGCCACATGACTATGGAAAATGTTTGTGGACAACACTGGCTCCCTCGGCCAAGAAGCAGAGTTCAGCACAGCACTGCACCCTAGAATGGACACGACTGAAAGAGAAACCTTTACCTTTTTTCAAATTACCTATAACCACCTCCAAACAGTGAGGACTAATCCACTGCGCAAGTAAATACCTTGTGGGTAGATGCCTCCTGCACCAGTTTCAGAGATCTCATCCAATACTGCCTATATTTTATGCCATTTATCAAGAGAGTGTGTGAAGGTCACTAGAAATTCCCATTCTTTAGGGTAACACTTCTGTATGAGCTTCTGTCTTTGTCATTCAACGTTTAAAGCATGCTGGTCGGGGAATTCTGGAAATTGAAACCTACACATCTTCCAGCTGCCAAGATTGAGAAACACTAGTTTAAAGATATGGTGGGCCATATGAAATCTTCAAATTAAAAAGATTATAACCTAGCCATGTCGCAATTGTACACCATTGTTCTCCTACAATTAAGGAGAACAGATTTAAGAACATATCTTCCTCACTGAGCAATGATTTTATGATGGAACAATGCAATATGGTTTATAGACCTAACACCAAAAGAACAGGTGCATACCAAATGTACATCCAATCTCTCCACTGTAAAATCTTCACAGGTTTGTCTACTACAAGTCAGCATACATAAACCTGTTAGAAGCTGCATTTAAATGCAGGGCTTGGGTAAACCAGTAAAAACCTAAATGCATTCTGGACTTTGCACTGTTGCCTGACTCAAAAGATCAAAATAGTGGAATCCTATGTACAGAAACGCTCACACAGGAATAAAAAAAAGTTCTGATAGTGGTTTCAATTGCGTGATCACCATTTTGCCTTTTTTGACAATCCCTTAGTGGAAATAATTTTGTAAGATTGTCCCAGCCACAGGCTTGTTTAGAACTGGCCTTTTGTCAATGCAGATCTATCTTTTTAGTTATTACATTCCTACACCAGTGGTGGGTTGCTACTGGTTCGCCCCAGATTGGGCGAACCGGTAGTGGCGGTGGCAGGAGGCTCCACCCACCCGCTCAGATGTCTCTGTGCCTGCGCAGAAGCTTCTGTGCATGTGCAGAACTGTTGTGCACGCGTGAGAGCGCCCACGAGCAAACCAGTAGCGATGGGATTTGATTCCCACTGCTGGCCTACACACATGAACATTGTCATACATGTACCTTAAACATGGCATCATTTCACCAGACAAAGGAGATAAAGGATCTCCAAGCAAAGCTTTTAGAGTCATGCAGACGGATTCAGAGAGTGACCGTAAGTGATATCCACCCTAAATAAAAACAAACCAATGTAAAATATAAAAGAGTATACAAAATTCCAAGCAAAGATTAAGCAATCAACATCGATGTCTTAAATTATTAGAAAATTTAAAGAGTGGTATTCAAAAGACATCAGCATATGCTAGTTTCCAAACACCTGATGCAATCACTATTGAAAATAAGTAACCCCCCCAAAAAAACTCATTTCATAAAGAAAGAAGTAAGATAATTGTAAGTAGTAATAGTATTATCTCAATATTCCAAAACCTCAAATGTTTTATGATCTCTGGAATGGCCTAGGTGGCCTGATTGTCAAGTACACAAAGTGAGGTCATATGACTGTGGGTGGGAAGGTGGCCATTGGAACTTCAAATTTAGGTTGTAAGTATCCCTCAGATAGGCCCATTGGAACTTCGATTGCTTGCTAAGTGATATGTCATAGGTCAAGGACTATCTGTATTCATAGACCAGTGAGCATCTGAAATTTGTGTCAATATGTAAATATTCATAATCCAAGAAAAATTTGAACAGTACCTCTAATTAAAAAGCATTTATTACGTTGGAAATAAGATTGTAATAAAATCCATACCTCTAAAACTGCACACAACTTTCCATTAGCTAAATTCATTAGAAAATGAGTAAGATGGGAAAAGCATTCTGGAGTCGCTTTCATCTGCCCCTAAAAACAAAATAAGCAGAAACAAAGACATTTTGTGATCTATTTTCATGGGAAAAAAGAAAGAAAAACAGTATCTAGAAAAGAGCTTACCTCTGGATCACCTATTCCAGAGTCATATCCAGCAGAAATCAAAACAAGTTCTGGATCAAACTACAGTTGGGAAAAAAATCAACAGTTTATATTTTAGTATAATGTGCACAGTATAAAGATGTTGCAAGTTGTAATTCATCAAGATCCGAAAAGTCACAGGTTCTCCAATACATATTTCAAGGCATGTCCAACCACCTACTTCCTTAAATTAATCAAGATTTGATTTCTGACCTACTGTTCCCTTTCAAACTTTTCATAAAACCTTCGAGCAGTTTTCCCTCAACCTCAGCTACTTTAAAATGTATGGAATTCCCAGAATTCCCCAGACAATTGAAAAATGCTGACAAAAAGCAACCCACAAGTTCCCTGCTTTGATGCCTTTTTGCTAGAAGAATTTGCGTGCAAATAATCCCTCCAGTTGACCAATATAGAATATGCAGGACCAAAATTGTCTAATCAGACCTCACACATTCTTCACTCCTTGCTCATTTGTTTCTTGTCCAATTCGGTCCCAGTAGCAGTTTGAGTTGATAGATTTTCCATTCATTTTAAAACCATGGATCTCAAACAGACAGGGAAAAGTGAAGACCAAGGGCATTCTCATTACAGGTAATGAGCTCGAGTCACAATCATTTGTTTAGTGACTGAAGTTACAGCAGCAGTAAAAAAAAAAAAAAAAAAGTGATTTATGCTCCTACGGCCCTTGTAGCATCCTCATGGTCATGTGATCAAAATATGGCAACCAGCATGTGTTTACAATAGTTGTACCATCCTGGGGTTATGTAGCTTTGCTGGCTGAAGAATTCTGGGAGTTGAAGTCCACAAGTCTTAAAGTTGCCAAGGTTGGAGACCCCTGATGTAGATCACTATTTGCAATGTTCCCAGCCTGCCTCTGATAGGCAAAGTCAATGGGGGAAGCAGGGTTTGCTTAATGATCATGTGATTCCCTTAACAGCCTTTGAAAAACAGGTAATAAAATGAGGTGCAGCTCGCTAAACAACCTCCTTGCTTACTAATGGAAATTCTGGCCTCAGTTGTGGTTATAAATTGAGGACTACCTGTAGCATTTCTGGAGCTATTCCTTTCACACCACTACAGAGATGTCAGAGAATTGGCTCTGTTACACAATTGTACAACAACATTCAGGAGCTGTAACATTTGTGAAGGGGCTCATAGTCTTTTTAAAAAACAACAACGCAGCTCTCATTATACAGAGATAATTGTAGCACAACAAATCTGGGGAGATCCCAACGGTAGCAAAAAAACCAAGAGTGTAGTACAGCTGCTGTCTTGGTTTTTGGGCCTTCTTCCTGCAGATAATCCTAAACGTAATTTTTTTAAAAAAGGAAATTGTTACTTTTAAATAATTGAAGATTATTTCTGATACTATACAAAAGTATTTTACTATTGTATTCTACTTTGAAATAGCATCCGCAATTAGGGGGGAAAAGGTCCAGAATTCAAAAGTTACCTCAAAAGCTATTGGAAGCAAGACATGAAGAAATGCAGCCAAATAATCTGAATTTCCCATTCCAACCTGCAAAGCCAAGCATAATACAAAATAACAGTTCTTTTAAAACAGAAAAAAACCCAACAACCCCAAACTGCCATTATATGGGCCTATTAAGTCCACAAATATCTGTGGAAATCATCTCTGGAGAGCATTCTGCTTCTCCAACAAATTCTAAACTGTATTCAGCAAACAGTTTTCTAAATCCCCAGGAAGGAAAACTATATGGACATTTTAAAATGTGTATTATGTTCCGTCTGACAATATACAATCTGTATTTTACTTTTTTACTTTTTTTGCCTCAAATGTTGCCCTCATTAATATTACCACAGTAATAAAACTGTTATTTTTCTTAAAAGTCTGTGCTACAAATAAATTTTTTATAAACAGTAGAGTAGGAAAATGAGTGTTTTTATTAAATTACGGTATTTCAGCGGAAACCATGCTTCCCTGTGCATAATTCATCAGCTGCATATGAGAACACAAATCTATTCTAATTACAAAATGAGTTCTGAGTTGACTGCAAATATGTATATTAGGTGTGTAAATGGAATTAAAAACAAAACTGCATCAAATGCATGACTGCTAGAGTTTAACATCTATTTATATTATAGTGCTATTAAACAACATTTACCAGATTCCAAGGGACATTTATGGTGAATCCTTTTCCTTTCCCCTGACCAACCGCATCATAATTAGACTCACTGAGCCAAGGCCAAAAGTTCTGGTGTTCAAACCGATGCCAGGAAAAATAGAGAACACTACAAGAACAAAATAGTATTTAATGAAGTTGCTGATACACCAAGCAAACTACTCTCAGCAGTGCTTATTCCAGGACAGAATAGCTGAACTAGGTCTGAAATCTATGAATTTTCACTATTTAAGTTTTCTATAAATTGATTTAAATATAGGGTGTTCTGGACGAGTTTAATTTTTCATAGTTATAGAGTCAGAGTAGTTTTTAAGATGTCAGTAAAGTTTCCTGCAAAAATGTGGGTGCTGGTATGAGTGCCATCCATTTTGTAAATGTACCTCACAATAACATGTATACTTTTAATCAGTTGTTTTCATCTTTATTTATCTTTGAATAGGACCTCATCTATCACTTTAGTTCAACACTGAAGGGAGTTTTACGACGTTAAAAACACAGACTGTAAGATATAGGTTATAGCAAAATTAATACAATTTGCCTAAAAACCAAAATGATACATAATTGTGTAGTGAAAGCTATCAAAATATCTTGAGGCCTACTGTCTGCTACTGAAATTTATTGGTAATTCATTTCCAAAATAAAAACTTTTTGAAACTCATGCAGTACCTGGGGTCATCATCAAATGCATATTGAATTCCTTGTCCATGATGTATATCCCAGTCAACAATGAGGATCCTGCATGAACCAACAACATTCATTAAAAGGTAAGACCTTCAAAGATTTGTGATTTTAAATATATATACTTCACCTTTGCAAGCCGTATTTTCTCTGAGCATATTTTGCTGCAATAGCAACATTATTGAAGATACAAAATCCATTGGCTGCATTTCTTTGACTATGATGACCTGGAGGCCTGCAACCAAGCATGATTAAGTCAGTTAACCATAAACTATACCAAAGAACATTCACCTAGAGCAGGGGTCAGCAACCTGCGGCTCCCTGTCTCTTTGGGCTCTCTGCTGTGGCTTCCTATCAGGTGATCCCACCACTGGCTGGCTCCGCCCCTCGCCCTCCCCTCCCAGTCACTCCTCACCTGGCCTGAGAAGGTAAGGGCGACAGGGGATGGAGAAGCAGCCAGGGCAGAGACAGAGATACAGAAAGAGGGGGGGAGAGAGAGAGACATAGAGAGATACAGAGGGAGAGGGAGAGAAGGGGGAGGGAAGGAGGGAGGGGAGAGAGAGAGATGTCAAAAGGATTTTGTGGTTTTTTTAACAACTGGTTCTCTGCCCTAATGACCGGCTGGGTAGGCGTGGCTAGGGGGTGTCATGTGACTGATAGAAGTGAGTGACATCGAGTTGGCCACACCCACCCAGGTTTTGTGGCTCCCGGTGTTTTCTTTTCTGTGGGAAATGGGTCCAAATGGCTCTTTGAGTATTTAAGGTTGCAGACCCCTGTCCTAGAGAACAGTTCAATTTGGTTACCTTATTAGAGTCAAGCCATTACGGGTCTTTCCCGACATCACAGCATCTACCAGTTGCAGTGTTGCTCCCACAGCCACTTTGGCACAACGATATGTTGTCTGAAGAACAGAACAAGTTCATGATTCAAAGACTCTACTGCAGTTTCTGAGAAGAATGAATGAAGGCTGGAGAGATGGGAACAGATTGGCACTCTACTGAATTTCCCCTCATTCAGGCATTGGGTATTAGAACTGTAATTCAAAGAAGCACTCAGCAGTCACCTTCTCCCAATTTATATTTCCAGGAGAAAGTAGGAATTTGGGGAGATGGGGAGAAGGATACATCTGGAGGAAGCTTGGAGTCTTGGCCATAAGAAAAGCTCCACCTGTTCAAAGGGACAAGTTTATGAACACATATTTAGTTCCAGGGAAGGCAGAACTGTGAGCCTGTAGAAACATTTCAAAGTTAAGGATGGCCATTGAAACCCATTTTGAGTTATTTAACAATGGCTAAATTTGGTTCCTTCTGCAAACATTAACAAAATGACTGTGGTGTTCAGCATCTTACTCCAGTTACATAATTTGGATTAGAGATTTTAAAAATGGAGGGGAAAAAAATCTCCAAATCAGGAAAGGGCTTAGTGGTGGTAGCAACAGCAACAGATCCTTTTCAGGCCTTCCATAGGAAAGCTAAAAAGCCAAAATGACAGCTGCAACCATGTCATCAAAGACTCTCCATCTCCTCCAAAATGACCCTGGAGCCTTGAGAAATATTCATGTCTTAAGAACAATATGTTTTAATTTTGAAGAACAGTCGCCCCACAACTCTTTGGGTGGACAGCGGAATTTGGAGAAAACGGTTTATGACTAAGGTACATTATATCTAGGAAGAATTCTCGATTAGGCTCCATACTGGATGAAAGTAAACAGCATCATATTCAGCAGAGACTTTTTGGAGCTCTTCTTTTTCCATTTTCTCAGTGCTCTTCACCACTTCCACATAATCCATACTGGAAAAAAAAAAGAAATATGGTGTCACCCATAGACATAACGTAGGGTGTGAGCCAGTTTAAAATGTTGCCGTCTCTACTATTACTCTGCTAATCAGGAATCTGTTTGCAGATAAAGTGACAGGACAGCTATTTATATAGAGCAAGCCAACTGAGATCTGAGACAAGATGCTGAACCAATATGTATATAAACTGGGCTGATTACTGATTTTGCCCCTAAGTCAAAACCAAATTGGGACCATTTCTCTTATGAGGAGCAGTCATGTAAAATGCAATTCCATTTCTTTGGGACGGATTTTTTTAAAAAAAGTTTAGAACACTAAGTCTAGGAAGCATTAGTCTGTAGAGTATCTCAGTCATCCAAGTCATGGTTGTCCTAAAGGTGCTTTTTCAGGAGGCAACTGGACTTTCTTGTTTTTTCTTTCGAAGATGTTTCACTTGTCATCCAAGAGGTTTTTCAGCTCTGACAGAATAGTGGGGAATGGAAGGATTTATATTCCTTGCAGACAGCTGGTCATCTGCATCCATTTAGCGGGTCGTTGAAGCACTTGGAGGTTTATCTGTGCCCTCAGGGTCATCTGTGTTGGGAAAACCCTGAGGACACAGATAAACCTCCAAGTGCTTCAACAACCCGCTAAATGGATGCAGATGACCAGCTGTCTGCAACGAATATCAATTCTTCCATTCCCCACTATCCTGTCAGAATTGAAGAAGCTTCTTTTTCAAAAGAAAAAACAAGAAAGTTGAGTTGCCTCCTGAAAAAAAGCACCTTTGGGACATCTAGGATGCATTGAATTTAGTAATACAAAATCACATTTCTTACTGATGCTTCATTCCTTACTGTGGCTCAGTTCAGCGCAACAATAAATCGCCCAAGTTTAAGAGACAGAGAATTAATGTCAGCCTTGAACTCATCCCTCATTCTATTCAAACACATATTCCCTTTTTCCTCTTTTTTATGGATTAATCTGAATAATTATATTTATATCAGTGTTGATGCTAAGAAACTGTGGGGAGTGGAAAAGATGGGAGCCATTAAAGAGGAGATGATGGTCTGGTGCCATAGCTAAGGGAAGCAGGGGAGAGCTCCTAGAAGACAAGAGAAAACTCATTGGAAGGGTAATTTAAATATTCAGAAATCAAGGTTTAACTGAAGAACATAGAATCTAGAATAATAGGGTTGGAAGGAACTTTAGAGGTCTTCTAGTTCAACCGTTGCCCATGGCAGGAGATCCTACTCCATTCTAGACAAATAGCTGTCTAGTCTCTTCTTGAAAACTTCCAATGATTGAGCACCCACAACTTCTAGAGGCAAGCCACTGATCGTTTTCATTGTCAAGGAAATTTCTCCTTAATTCTAGATTGGATTTTTTTAATGAATTTCCTCTGGCTACTTCTTGTCCTGACCTCAGCTACTTTGGAGAATAAATTGACTCTTCTCTTTGACAGCTGCTCAAAACTGGAAGACTGCTACCATATCATCATCCTTAGACTAGGCATACCTAGTTCCCTCAATCGTTCATCATATGGTTTAGCCTTCAGTCCCCTTATCATTTTGTTGCTCTACTCTCCATTCTTTCTAGGATCTCAACAGAATCCACTTCTGAATGGCATGTTACCTCTTTGCAGCTTGCCCAGCAAATGACCTTTTCTAGTTATCAGGATAATGAGCTTAATGACCCATATGCTCAACAAAAACAAAAACAAAAAAAACCCCAAATCCCATAACTTTAACCTTAGATTGTCTACTGTAGACCTCACCTCATTCCTTAGAGGTCTGTAAGGGGCATGCATAAGCGCACCAGTGTGCCTACCATCCCTGTCCTAATATTTCCTTTTATTCATATCCATTTTATGTATTCATAATTATGTTTACACTCGTATCTGTTATCTTATACATGTTTGACAAACTAAATAAATAAAAACTCCAGATTACAAAACAAGAGATAAAGAGAATCTCCTTGTGCATATGCTGGGAGAGTTTATATACAGTAGAAGTAGTGTGTAAAAGTTTTACACTGGAGTGTAAAAGCTTCTTTATCTATAGGTTGATATTTTGTTTGCTGCTTTTTGCCTGATTCTTCCCTTGCAATCTATTCCATACTGGAAAATTTTCTTGAAATTAAAATACTCCTAGCTTTTGGTAACTATCTAATTACTCGGAGCATACCTGTGAATCAGCATGATTTCACTCTCAGTTCCTTCTCTGGCAGAGACCAGAATGCATCTTTCAATCAGGTTATAGTGCTGAAGGCGGCCATAGCAGCAAGAAAGCCGTTCAGGGACCTCCACCTCACATGTTGGGCTAAAAATGAGACCAAGAGTTAGGTTCCCAGTTAAATCATTAGAAATCTATGTTGCAGCTAAGAAAGAAGATATTTTTGATTACTAGAAAGAAAAAAAACTGGTGAAGGAAGGAATGTGACCTTTAGTATAGTATTGATAATGAAATACCTCAGATATTAACTAAAACCAGAGGTGAAATGCTGCTGGTTTGGAGACCGGTTCGACTGAACTGGTAGCGATGGCGGCCGGTGGTTCAGAGAACCGGTAGGAATGGTGGCACGAGGCTCCGCCCACCTGCCCGGTTGTTTCTTCCTGGTTTTAACCAGGAAATAACCTTTTTTTTACCCTCTGCACATGCAGAGGGTAAAAAGAGCAAGACAATTAACTTTGTCATGATACTCCTGCCTTAGACAGGAGATTGGACTAAAAGACCTCCAAAGTCCTTTCCAACTCTATGATTCTATGATAACAATGGACCAGTATTTCTAAGCCTTGGCAACTTGAAGATGGGTGGACTTCAACTCCCAGAATTCCCCAGCAATCATGTCAACACATGTTAAAGTTGTCAAGGTTGAGAAGCACTACAATGGATTAAGCAAAATCAAAACCAGATTTTCTTTTTGAAGCATGCAATAGTATCCACAGCAAGGGTGCATGTATCAGCATCAAAGCCCTTCTCCTTTTGCACATGCAGCAACGATGCACAAACATACAAAAGATGCAGGTTTCTGATCATGATGCTCCATTGACTGATAGGGGCGGCTATAGAAATTGAATAAATAGAAATAAACAGCAGTATTGGTCATTAGTATATTTCATGCGTGTAAAAAATCTGCACATGCATCATAGCACACGAGCACCATCTAGCCAGCCTGGCTGACCTAAAAAAAAAAAAAAAAAAGCTAAGTAGGGACCAAGGCACCAGTGCTTTTTTGAGTGAGCACAAAATCCCAAATTGTATAGAAATCAACATCATATAAGGATCAAATGTCATTGTAGCAACAGGGTATCACACCAGGTGAAACAACACCTAACTGATCTTGAAGAAAGCTAAGCAGAGTCACATCTGGTTGGAATTAAGAGTTCCTTTGTTAATGTTTATCAGAAACAAAAACCAGCATAAAACAAATGAGCATTTTTAGTAGGAGTGTGTACATCAGCAACATGCATCATAAACAGAGTACAATAAAGCCTTATCAATAATTGTTGAACAAACAAAATTTTCCAGTGGTGCAATAAACATAAATCATGAAACTACACCAGTCAGCAACAGGACAAAAGAACAGATTGTAATCAATAATGTTCCCTTATTGCCTTTTGATCTAATTTTATGGGCTGCAGCACAGAATCTAGCCTGGTCTTTATAAGCTAGCCGGAGAATCAAGGAAGAAAGATCTGATTCTCTGGGTTTATTTATAAAAAGATTTTCAGTCTTTAGATCCAGGCATAGTTAAAAAAAAAAGTGAGAATGTCTCCATCTCCTCAGAACCACAGGTATATTATTAAATCTTTCCTGGAGCACAGTTGTGGGGACCACAGTGACATGCACGATTAATAAAGTTCTGTGGAACTTTGGAATTGATAGCTAACTGATCAATGTGCCTAAAAAAATATTATTGGGAAAAAGTCTCAGAACTGTCTGTAAGTTCTGTCAGAATAAACCATTATTCTTGGTTTCTTCTAACAGCAGAAAGGGCATCATTGTGTCCCTCCCCAAGAAGAAACCTAAGTGTCAGGATCTCAGGTTAGCTATTCTTCAACTTCCTCCAACGATGTTACTTCAGAAAGTGATACTTACAAGGCTAAGGAAAGAAATATAAGATCTAGTTTGTATTTGGATGGGACACCCATGACCAGGAAATCCTAAAGCAGACCGAGATGTCAAAAAGAGAATCCAGAAGGAGGCAGTGACAAGCCACTTCTGTATTCCTGCAAAGAAAAACCATGACTGGGTCTTTGTAGCCCAAGTTAAGGAACTTTTTTATGTCAAAGACAGGCAGTCAGTGCATCTCAGAGCATCTTATTTAAATGCAGATGAAATAAGCCATGTTCAAATCATCCCGTACACTTAACCACCAAAAGTAACATAAATTTTACTTGTTCTGGTTATTTTGTCTCAAATGCTTTAAAAGAATGCAAAAGCATTCCATTCTTTATGTACATGCAACTGCAGCAAATATATAGATGTTGGGAAAGTAGAAAGTTATGCGAAAGAAACACAAAACAATTTCATATTAATTAGGATAGGTACAGTATAAATTGAAGCAGAGGGTCTGACAGGTTTTCAAGATTGTGTAATCTGTCAAGATCAGGAAATAGAAATTGCTAGGAATCTTGGAATGTATCTTAATGTGGTTAGAAATTTCACAATTTATACCTAACAGTATCAAGTTGGAATTGTTTTAAGTTTTGTTCTACTTTCCCAGGACTCAAATATCCTTTCTGTAATAGTTTGGCATTTTTTCTTTTCCCTGAATCAAACACGCATGCAGGTAATCCTTGCTTATAGACCACACACTGAGCAACCATTCAAAGTTGAAACTATACTCAATGAGGGATACTTATAATTGAAGCTCTGGGTGAGTGCAATTGGCTTACTTGAACAGTTGCACTGTCCAGCATGATCATGATTTGTGACCTTCCCTGCCAGCCTCCCATAAGGAAAGTCAGAAGGAATGTCACAAGTCACTCTGGCATGTCCCCATCCCCTATCTTCTTGCACACTGTGCAATGCCTTCCTTCCCTGGGCCTTGCTGCATTCACACACACACATCTGCATCCCAGCATCCTCTCCCCCAACTTCTGCACATCCTGTCTGAGGCCTCCCCCACCCAGGCAGTTCTGGTTCTAACTACCATTGTAACTCAAGGACAATCTGTATCTGTAATTCCCTTTTATTGCAAAGTAGAGGTTTCTTAAATGAAACAACAACAACAACAACAAAAGCTGTACTTACTCTTCCCAAAGTAGCTTATGGTTGATCATTTCACCATCGTAAACCAAGGCTGTTCCAGCTGCCATCACTTTGTTTGAAAACACAATGCAATATCTGGTATGTGGTTCATTAAAGAAACAAAACATGCATCAAGAAGGGAACCAGCAAAATCAAGACGTCAATTGTTATTTTGCTTGACAGTCTGAAATAATGCTACAGCTCACAAATTTTAATAGAGCAATCATCTGAACCTGGTTCAGTTTAACATTAAACTGTAGCTGAGCACAATGTGAACAAGCTTATTTAAGCTTCAGACAGAGTACAACTTCTTCCAGTCATCAAGACCATTCCAGAGGAAGAAACTAAAAGCATCTTCTTTCAAATCCAAACTACTCATAATTGTTAGTTTGACAAAGATAAACTATCACCTATGATTTACCAAAGTAAGGCAAAATCCAACCACTATTTCCAGCTCTAGTTCGTTTTGCTATAGTTCATTGATTAAAACAACCATATTTCCCAATAATTGCATAAGTTTCTGAACTGGAACTGAAGAAAGTTGCTGAATGCTAACTTCAGGATGTGTGAACTTCAACTCTCAGAATTCCTCAGCTAGCTTGACCATCTTGAAACTGCCAAGCTGGAAAAAACACTGAATTTGAGCATGTTCCTATCCAGCTGGACTTACCGTAGAAATTATTCTCAAATTGGCTAAGGAATTTCTCAGGGTTGAAGTCCACACATCTTAACATTGCTGAAGCTGAGAAACACTGAGCTAAGAGAGAAAGGTTGGTCCAAAGTGCTGCAATCCAATGGCCTCTGGCATCAATGTTCGGAACCCTGGTCTCTGTTAGAATTAACTACTTCTCTACATATTGACTCTCCTTTTTACGGCAAACAGTAGTCAGAACTCATTCATGGACATGTGAAGCTACAGCAATTTGTGAGGATATTTTAATAATGGAAGGTCTTAATTTTAGGTTCTTTAATCTTCAAATTCTTTAGACTTGAATAAGCACAGAAGAACAATTTTCTCAATCTCTTGAAATACCACCCAATGCTGCCCTTAACATCACTCTCTTCTTACCTGTTAGGTGCAATCCAGAAAATCCTGCTGAAGAAAATAATTTCAGGATCAGTGTCGAAGGATCTAGCAAGAATAAGATAAAACTCTGAGCATGCTGTGGACTTCAACTCCCAGAAATCCCCCAGACAGCATGACCATCTTGAAGCTGCCAAGTTTGAAAAACACTGAATTTGAGAAAGTTCCTATCCAGTTGGAAGACATTAGATGCCATTCTCCAGCTGGCTGGGGAATTCTGGGAGTCCACACACTGTAAGAGTTGCCAAAGAGTTGAAAAATACTGGTCTAAATAAATTTGGATAATCAATTTTCATTTAAAATGAAAACAGCTGCAAATTTTGTGTACTATCCGCAAAAAAAGTGTAAAATGTAACATTAAAAAGGGGAGGGGGAGACCTATGTCTCCAGCAAGATTAAGCTCCGAATGTGCAAATGCAATTTTTAAAAAAATCTACTCCTCTGACCATGTGCAGAAAGCAATTCCAATTCTCCAAAGAAAGCACAGTCGATTCAAAACATCTGAAATTAGGCGATGGGAGTTGGCAAGAAAGATCTCAAAAGAATCTCTTCTTTGCAATAATTCCGAATTTCATTTTAGCCTACTGGAAGCCTCACTTCTGGATCAGCGACTCAGCCTCAAGTTACAGGAAAAATGTCAAAACGGCATTTAGATCAAAACTTTCCTACCCGGATTGCAGCTTCTGTTAAATTCTTACCACTCGGCGCAGGCAGGGGAGGGAAAATCAAAGTGCTTGGAGGAAGAAGAGGACAATCTGCAACGTCTTATTGGCTTGAATGTGTATACAGAATGTTGAGTCGGACCAATCGGGAAAAGGAGTGCAAAGAAGGCGGGGAAACATCAACCTGCCACACAAATGTTCAGTTCCCGCCCTTGTCTACGCCTTTCCATCTCTGATTGGATAATCCGACTACTCTTTGCCAATAATAGCACACAGAAGAGATTGGGGGAAAGCATGGGAAAAATACGTGGTGCGCTGTAACTTTAATCGAAATAAGGTTTGGACTGAATCTGGAAACGAGTGTGCATGTTGCAACATACTATTTTTTGTTATGTTAGCTCCATGGGCGGAGGTGGTTTAAGAGTAAAGTTGTATTGCATTTGATTCATTACTAAATAACGTGTGTAGAAGACATTAAGAATAATACAACCTAAAAAAAAAGTTTTTTTATTTCGGTGCTTTCCAATTTCTTGTGGAATCCATTCCTGGTTTTCTATATAGCTCATGCTTCGCTGACTTTGTTTTCCATACAGCCCAGCTGTGGCTGTGTTCCTTCTCAGCTTCCCTCATCTTCTATTGCAGGGGTCTCCAACCTTCGCAATTTTACGATTTGTGGACTTCAACTCCCAGAATTCCTCAGCCAGCTTTGTTTTGCTTTGCTTTGCTGGCTGAGGAATTCTGGGAGTTGAAGTCCACAAGTCTTAAAGTTGCCAAGATTTGAGACCCCTGTTCTATTGCACTTCCTTCCGACGCTGCTGTTTATTTCAAAACATTTTTTATTTTTATTTTATTTTACTTCAAATTTATATACCGCCCTTCTCCCTAGGGACTCAGGGCGGTGTACAGCCAAGTAAAAACACATAAATACATAATACATAGATTAAGAACAGATTAAAAGGAAATATCTCAATTTGGCCCAAAATTTAAAAAGACAAACGAATTTAAAATCATTTAAAATCATTTAAAAGGATTTGTTAGGCCAGCCCGGCTTGTTGAAAAAGGAAAGTTTTAAGGGAACGGCGGAAGGCACGAAGGTCTTGGATTCTCCTTATCTCTGGATTTCACCCCTGAAACAAAGAGAGGAAAGTGACATCATTGGAATATGTGTGTCTTCTCAGTTAATCATCTCAATAATTTAGTATCATTTAAGCATGTTCTCATTGGGGCGCTGCTTTCAACAGACCGATATTTTTCACCTCTACAACGTCTAAGTATAGTTACTGCCACTCTGGACATCCTTATGCAGAGCAACTTGTGTATGGAGAAGAAGCCACAAGGATGCCCTAGGGCATAGGTCAGCAACCTGTGGCTCTGGAGCCGCATGTGGCTCTTTCACCCCTCTGCTGCGGCTCCTTGTCATTCAAAATATGCGTCACAACTGGCAATGTGCGACACCTGCCGGCATGCGATTTATTGAGCTTTTCAACCCCTGGTAGGCCAACCATGGATAAATCCAAGAAAAGAAAAGTTTCAGAAGAAAAACAGAATGTTTAATTCAACTACATATGCTAGTTTTGTGGCCGCTCAAGAAATAGTCAGGCATGGGAAGGGTTTTGTGGCTCCCGGTGTTTTCTTTTTCTGTGGGAAACGGGTCCAAATGGCTCTTTGTATGTTTAAGGTTGGAGACCCCTGCCCTAGAGATAAAAACCCTCTGACTCCATTTTAACTATGCAACAACCCTGCAAGAAAGGTTAGCTTTGTGGCTGAGATTCATAATCGGCCCAAGTCACTTAATTGCCTTGCTTAGCAATGGAAATTCTGATCCCAACTTTGCCTGTCAGTCAAGGACTAACCAGTATGTAAACTTATGGCTTTATAGTTCTAATATGATGCTCAAATTGTATTTATATTTAATATTTGTATGGAAATCTAAATAAATATGTGGTACTTGATAAAGGCGGCTTAAGTTCTGGTTTATACATTTACTACAAAATATATAAAAATTGAACCAGCATTAATGGTTTGTTATACTCACACAGTTTCAACAATCATCATTTGTCCAACAATTGCTGGTTATGGTACGCACAGATATTTCATTCCACTAGGAGTCACTTTCCTCTCTTTGTTTCAGGGGTAAAATCCAGCAGGTTCTGGAGAATTGGTAGCGGAAATTTTGAGTAGTTCGGAGAACAGGCAAATACCACCTCTGGCTGGCCCAAGAGTGAGGTGGGAATGGAGATATTGCAGTATCCTTCCCCTGCCACCAAGCCACACCATGCCCACCAAACCACGCTCACAGAACCGGTAGTAAAAAAAATTGGATTTTACCACTGCCCTGTTTTATATAAATTTGCTACTGATTATGAGCATCTCTAAGATACTTCATGTGAAGGGTGGTTTGGAGATAACTGAGGTTCTGAGGCTTTACTGTCAAATGTTGAAGCAGAAACATTGGATTGCAATGGTGCATCTTACCTGCAAAGGAGGGTGGAATGTTGGCTCATCTATTGTTCCTGTAAAGAAATTTACTTTAAATGAAGTTCACAATCCTGGTGACTACTTGGACATGTCCATGGAGCAAGGGTGAAATTCAGCATGTTCTGACAGGTTCTGGAGAACCGGTAGCAGAAAAATTGAGTAGTTCAGAGAACCAGCAAATACCATTTCTGGCTGGCCCCAGAGTGGGGTGGGAATTTAGATTTTGCAATATCCTTCCCCTGGAGTGGGGTAGGAATGGAGATTTTGCAGTATGCTTTCCCTGCCATGCCCACCACGCCACACCACGCCCACCAAGCCATGCCCACATAATTGGTAGTAAAAAAAAAATTGAATTTCACCACTGCCATGGAGGTTTCTTGGCTACAGTTCCCTAGAGCTTTTTCACCAGCTTCTCTAGCATGTTGCTTTGGTTTCTCAGATTAGCCTTCAATTCTAGAATTTCTTGGTTCCTCACCCTAGACTTGACAACATTAAACTCCCCCCCCCATCAATGTTGGCTAAGTGCTATGCATGTATAAAGAACAAGAAACATCCAATTTGGAAAAGTTTTTTAAAGAATAAAAATATAAACAAAAGTATTAATAAATGAGAAAGACCTCAGATAAGAATCTCCACAAGAATGCCATTATTTACTAAAAGTACATGTACTATTGTGACTAACAAAATAAAAATATAGACTTCTGAAATTAAAATAATCATATGGATTTGTCTTCCTCTCTCCAGCACATTGGAGGCTTGTTGGCTGTCATGCAAAACAGAGTTGATGGTGTTTTTCACATGTACCTGACACATTGGAGGAATATGTATATCTAATAGAACCCATACCGTATTCCCAGCTTGTGTATATGCATAAATAAAGCCTGTTTTGTAAGTTCTAGTGACTTACGGAAACCAACATTGATTAAATACTGGTGAATCACAAAATTTTCATTATTGAGAAGTGGGATACACCCAGCCAGCATGTGTGGTAAAAAAACCATCAAGATGATAGCCACAATGGTGTGCTTGAAATTCCAGCCATTTTGTTTTGTAGATAACAGAGTTTTGATTGCACCATCATGATCACTATCTTGATCCCAGATGCACCTATGATTCCAATGCTAAAGTGAATGAAACCATAGTAATCTCTAATTGACAATTGGTATAACTGAATTAGCTTGAACCAGAAAATAGATCCGAGGTGGATTTCAGCAGATTCTGACCAGTTCTGGAGAACCGGTAGCGGAAATTTTGAGTAGTTCAGAGAACCAGTAGTAAAAATTCTGACTGGCCCCACCCCCATCTAATCTCTGCCTCCCAAGTCCCAGCTGATTGGGAGGAAATGGGGATTCTGCAGTAACCTTCTCCTGGAGTGGGATGGGAATGGAGATTTTACAGTATCCTTCCCCTACCACGCCCACCAAGCCATGCCCACCAAGCCACACCCACAGAACCGGTAGTAAAAAAATTTGAAACCCGCCACTGATCCAGATCTATATGCAGGAATACTGTCTTTGTCCTGAGAAAGGTTTTGCAATGTGGATTTAAATCAGCCCTGGAATTCATTTTACCTTCATTCAAAAACAGATTCCACTAAAAACAGTCTTACATTTTACATCAAGGCCCATCAGGACTTTGGGATCAGTTACCTTATATTTGTTTCCTAAAGCCCGTGACATTCAGGTTAAAGCTTTTGCCTGAGTGTTAGCAAAGAAGAGGTAATATGTGAAACAGAACTAAAAATCATTATTATTCTCATCTATCAAGCTAAGCATTGATCAAAGGTTTAAAAAGAGGTGGTAAAGTTCATGCAGAATAAATAAAATCTTCCTCTAAACTTAAGAAACAAATAAATCAATGTCCTGCGTTTTGTTTCTTTCATTGATTTTAATCTTTATTGAATAAAAAAACTGGTTAGAAGCCAAATTCAATCCAACATTTAATCAAATGGTTGTTCTGGTTTAATGTCAATGACTATACATATTCATTCATTACAATAAGTAGGGGAACACGATAGAGAGTCGGGTTTGTGGCTTAGTATCAATAGCCATAAACCACCTCTGCGTCTAGCAATTCAAATTTCTTCAAAATTCACATTTGCCACAGAAAAGATTCTAACATTGGTGTGAAAGGAGAAAACTTTATACTAATTCTGAACTGAAATCTGTTCTTCCCTCAAAAAGGCATCTGTTTTTCTACAACATTCTTTTTTTTCCCCAGTTCCTTCCACATTGGGCCACCATCAGCTTCAGATCAGTGCACCTCTTTATTCTTATGACGTCAAAAGCT